TGCAGCATTGTGGGCACTCACTCACCTATGCCAAGAAATTTGAAAGACACCTAGCTACCTGGCCAGCTGATTGGAAGAGATCCCTCTTTGTGCCCATTCCAAATAGAGGTGACCCATCAGAATGTAGAAGTCATCGAACAATGTCATTAATCTCACATGCAAGTAAATTTCTGCTAAAGGTCATTCAAAAACGTACATTGATAGGGAACAGCCAGCGGTTCAAGCCAGATTCAGAAGAGGCCGTGGAACTAGGGATATCATTGCTGATGCCGGATGGATCTTGGCTAAAAGTAGAGAATATCAGAAAGGTATTTGTCGGTGGTATAAGGTGCCGTTGAGTCAGTTCCAACTCATAGCAACCCTGTCTAGGGTTTCCGAGGAGTGGCTGGTGAGGATGAACTGTTGACCTTGCAGTTCAAACCTACTCTGCAGTCCAGTGCATTAACCCATAGCACCACTGTGTGGATGATGACAAGCTACAGACAATATTGCTGAGAATGAGTATTCTGGAGCACATAAGTGTGTTCATGAGGAACTTGTAGATAGAACAAGAAGCAGTCATTCAAACAGAACAAGGGGACAGTGAATGGTTTAAAATGAGGAAAGCTGTGCACAAGGGTTGTATTCTGTCACTATACATACTCATTCTGTATGCTGAACAAATTAATTCAAGAAGCTGGATTATATGGAGAAGAATGTGGCATTAGGATTGGAGGATATGCAGGTGATACAGCCTTACTTGCTGGAAGTGAAGAGAACTTAAAATACTGATGGAGATCAAAGACCACAGCCTTTGGTATAGGTTGCACTTCAATGTAAAGAAAACAAAAATCTTCAGCACTGGAACAATAAATAAAATCAAGATAAATGGAGAAATGATTGAAGTTGTCAAAGACAACTTGGATTTGATCCACTATCAACACTCATGGAAGCAGCAGTCAAGAAATCAAACAACGCACTGCATTAGGCAAGTCTGCTGCACAAGACCTCTTTAAAGTGTTCAAGGGCAAAGACGTCAGTTTGAGGACTAAGGTGTGCCTAACCCAAGTTATGGTATTTTCAGTAGCCTCATATGCATTTGATAGTTGGACAGTGAGTAAGAAAGACTGTAGAAGAACTGATGCATTTAAGTTACTGTTTTGGAGAAGAGTTTTAAAAGTACCATGGACGGCTAGAAGAGCAAACAAATCTGTGTTGGAAGGAGTACAGCCTGAATGCTCCTTAGAAGCCAGGATGATCAGATTTTGTCTCTCATACTTTGGACACATTATCAGGAGGGACCAGTCCCTGGAGAAGGTCACCATATTTGGTAAAGTAGAGTGTCATCGAAAAAGAGAAAGACCCCCCAATGAGATGGGTTGGCACAGTAGCAGCAGAAATGTGCTAAAGCTTAACGAAGATTGTGAGGATGACACAGGACTGGGCAGTGTCTCGTTCTGTTGTGCATAGGGTGGCTTTGAGTCAGAACCGACTTAACAGCACCTAACAACACAACAAATTAGACTGGACAAAAGAATTACCAAGTTGTTTTCATTGACTTTCTTCTGATTGCTAGTGAGGTTGCTAGTACTAATTGCTAATGAGCATTTTCTTACAGGTTTTAACCATCTATTTTAAAGTACAATGCTGTCTCTGGTAGGATAATACCAACAGGCCTACAAGGAAGACCAGTTAATACGGCTATTATTCAAATGAATGCACCAACTACTAGTGATGATAAAACTGAAGAATTCTACCAACTTCTTCAGTCTGAAGTTGATCAAACATGTAATCAAGATGCATTGGTAATTACTGGTAGATTGGAATGTAAAAATTGGAAACAAAGAGGAAGGATCCATAGTTGGAAAATATGGCCTTGATGATAGAAATGATGCTTAAATTACTTGCTGATGAAGATCAAAGACTACAGCCTTCAGTATGGATTGCACCTAAACGTACAGAAAACTTAAATCTTCACAACTAGACCAATAAATAACGTCATGCTAAATGGAGACAAGAATTATGTTGTCAACAACTTCCTTTTGTTTGGATCCACAATCAGTGCTCATGGACGCATTAGGCACATCTGCTGCAAAGGACCTCTTTAAAGTGTTCAGGAGCAAAGATGTCAGCACGAGGACTAAGGTGCAGCCTGACCTAAGCCATGGGTTTGGACAGTGAATAAGGAAGACCATAGAATTGATGCCTTTGAATTATGGTGTTGGGGAAGACTATTTAAAGTACGATGGGCTTCCAGAAGAACAAACAAATCTGTACTGGAAGAAGTACAGCTAGTATGATCCTTAGAAGTGAGGATGGTGAGACTTCATCTCTCAGACTTTGAACATATTCTCAAGAGGGACAGTCCCTGGAGAAGGACATCATACTTAGAAAAGTGGAAGGTTAGCGAAAAAAGACCCCCAACAAGATGGATTGACACAGTGGCAGAAATAATAGGCTCCAATATAAATAAAAAAAAATTGCAGTAACAAGCAGTATATCATTTTGTTGTGTTATGATTTGTAACTGATTCAACAGCCCCTAACAACAATGGCCTGGTGGTGTGGCGCTGTAGGGTAAACACTGGACTGCTAACTGCAACGTTGGTAGTTCAAACCTGTACAGGGTTGCTGTGAGTCAGAATTGACACCAACAACAATAATTGATTTTAACATTTTTTCACAAGTTTGCTGGTCAGTTGACGCTTTGGTGAATTGTCCAAGCCCTTTACCCGGTTTTTGATTGGATTGTTTGCCTTTTTGTTGTTAAATTGTAGAAGTTTTTAAAATATATTTTAGATATTGATCCTTACTGGTTATATGGTTCCTGGGAATTTTCTTCTAATTTGTTGGTGGGTTTTGCTTTTTGATAAAGTCTTCTGACGAACAAAAGCTTTTTATGTTTTTTGTTTTTGTTATGATTCCAGGATACTATAAGGTACTTTTTTTTTTTTTTTACTTTTTATTATCAATTGAGTGAAGGTTTACAAAGCAGATCATTAATTTTACATTCAACAAATCACACACAAAAGTATTTAATTTTTACGAAGGCCATTTATCTATTTTGGCTTTTGCTATTGTGTTTTTTGTGGTCATAATCTGATCATTAAAAAAACAAACAAACCCACAAACACCCAAGTTGGCCCTACATCCATACACCTATATTACACCTATATTTTCTTCTAAGAATTTTATGATTTTTAATGTTCTGTTAGACTGCAAGGTCAGTTTGAACCAAGCTGTCGGCGGTTCAAACTCACCAGCCAATCCTCAGAAGCCCTATGCAGGGTTGCTATGAATCAGAACCAACTCAACAACACTTAACAACAGTGGCATAAACAGTTAATTGTTCAGCTGCTAACCAAAAAGTTGGCAGTTCAAACCCACCAGCTATTTCAAGGGAGAAAGACCGTAACAATCTGCTTCTATATAGATTACAGCCAAGAAAATCCTATGGGGTGGTTCTACGCTGTCATATAGGATCACTTTGAGTTAGAATCGACTCGACTCAGTGGTACCCAACACTGGTTTTAACATTTACGTCCTTGATCCATTTTGAATTGATTTTAGTATAAGGTGTGAGGCTTAGATCCTAATTCATTCTTCTGCATGTGGAAATCCAATTTTCCAAGCATCATTTATTGAAAAAACTCTGCCTCCCCCATTCAGTGAACTAAATGCCCTTGTCGAAAATCAACTAACCATAGATACATGGATTTATTTCTGGACTGTCTCTATTCCATTGGTTTATATATTTGTTATTATACCAGTAACATACTGAGCCCTTCTTTATTAATCAGGATTGCTTTAGCCATTTTGGGTCCCTTGCCCTTCCATATAAATTTGAGGATTGGCTTTTCTATTTCTGGTTTTTTTTTTAAAGCTGTTAGAATTTTGACGGTAGTTGCATTGCCTGCTTTGGATAATATTGACATCAAAACTATATTAAGCCTTCCAGTTCACAAACCAGAATGTCCTTCCATTTATTTAGTCTTCTGTAATTTCTTTTGGTGATGTTTTATAGTTTTCTGTGTATAAGTCTTTTATCTTCCTGGTTAAGTTTATTCCTGAGTACCGTATTCTTTTATTATATGCTGTTGTAATGGTAACATTTCCATAATTTCCTTTTCAGCTTGTTCATTGTTGATGTATGGAAACCCTGCTAATTTTTATATTGACCTTGTGCTATGCCACTTTACTGAATTCATTTATTAGTTCTGATAACATTATTGTGAATTCTTTAGGTTTTTCTATGTATAAGATCATGTCATCTGTGAAAAGGGGAAGTTTTGCTTCCTCCTTTTTGATTTGGATACCGTTTATTATTTTTTTCTAGCCTGGTTTCTCTGGCTAGGACTTTAATAAGGCAGATAGTGGCTAACAATAGTACAAGTGAGCATCCTTGTCTTGCTCTTGATCTTAATGAGAAAGCATTCAGTTTTTCTCCATTGAGTATGATGTTATCTGTGGGTTTTTTATAAATGCCTTTGTATTTTCTTTTAAAACTTGCTTAGGATTTTTTTGTTCATTTGTTTGTTTGTATAACTCTTTAATCCATCTGGACTATATTTCATTTGTAGTGTAAGATAAGAGTCTAACGTTATTTTTCTCCTAATGGAAATTGTCCCAAGGCCAAATACTGAATATGCCATACTTTACTGGCTAATTTGAAATGGAGTGTGAATGGTTTAATGAATTCTGGTACATAGTGGAAAACAGCTTTCCTAAAAAGGAAAAAAAGTTTATACAGACTTGACATTGGCACCAGTTTCACTGCAGTCTTACAAGTATTGGTATTATTGTTTCATTGATTGCAAACTAATTTAAGTTAATTTTTGTTTAAATCAGCACACAGTCGGTTTTCATTCCTTGATGATGTAAATTATGGTATATGGAGTACTCTAACCAATGCCAAAGTGCCTGGGATTGTCAGAGGCCTTAGAAATGAATAGAAATCTGAAGATGGATTACTTCTACTCTCCCCCTCATTTTCTTTTTTTTTCTCTCCTGGGCCTCTCACAGGGTCTTCTGCAGGAGAGCTGATCCTCATTACAGCCAGGGTGACTGCAGAAAGGATGCCAGAAACCTGCTTGTACTTCAGTGCTGGCCCGGAAATCCTGCCTTCCAGCCAGCCACCTATATCCTGCTCAGAGGAGGGAGCAGGAAATGCTACTCTGAGCCCTAGGATGGCTGAGGATTGTATCAGGGTCTGGAGCCATGAAGGCCTTGTGCTCACCAAACTGCTGACCTCTGTAAGAACCTTCAGTTGCTGGGGTTTTATCAACTGTGACCCTAAGATCTAGGAGGCAGTGCTACCTAATAGAAAAAGCACTAGCGTTGCAATCTGGGCCCTCGAATGTAGATGGTGTGGCCTTTGTGCAAGGCCGTTAGCTTCTCTGAACCTCAGCTTCTTCATCTATAAAATAGAAAATATACAATCTGCCAATACCAACAAATACCGCTTAAGTAAGAATGAATGTAAATCCGATCCTGGGCCAACCTCACTACCCCTGCCATCAATGATGCCACTTGGCCGATCCATCTCGTTGGGGGTCTTCCTCTTTTTCTCTGACCCTCCATCTTACACAGCATGACATCTTTCTCCAGCCACTGTTCCCTCCTGACAGTATGTCCAAAGTATGAGAGACGAAGCTTAGCCATCCTGGCCTCCAAGGAGCACACTGGCTGCACTTCTTCCAAAACAGATCTATTGGTTCTTTTGGCAGTCCATGGCACTTTCAGTATTCTCCTCCAACACCACAATTCAAAGGCATCTTTGATAGTGAATTGTTAATACATCACATCTTAATTATTTAAGCAAATCAGTATGTTTTCTGTATTTAATTGTAGAAAGTTTATTTAGTTCTTGAAATTTATTTGCAAACACACTTTTTCCATTCAGTACTGTGGTTTATTGCCTACCTAGCTGAATATATGTCCACTTATTCTAAGGCTATCTGCATACTTAATTTACTTACGTGTTCATTTAAGTCAAGTGCTCATTATGTAGAAGAATTTGTATTTTGGAGGTGCTTGATTTATCTACAAAGAAAAAATAGGAATTACTTTATTATAAAATGCTCCTAGAAGTCTTAATTGTGTTTATTTTTAAAACAAATGAACTGTAATTTTATACTTGTGTGCATGGAAGTGATTGAGGTACATCATTATTGTAGTTTGAAAGTTGTACATAAGACGTATTTTGTTCTTACTATATGTTTTTACTGAATGAGCTATTCCCCATCCCAAGGCAAGCATGAATAAAATTAGGTTAAATGTAGAAAAAAGAATGAATGTAAAGTGTCCAGCACAATATCCAGTAAATAACAGAGGTTTGATAAATGACAGGTATTACTAATAATTATTGTCTTTAAATAAGATAAAACATGATCTCTACCTCAAAGGAATTTAGAAATTGTAATCAGAGGTAGAATGGGCTAATTGCTACTATACAGACGTGAGCAGAATGTTCCATAAACACAGAGTAAAGAGCAATTAGCCCAACTTGAACATTTATGGAGAGCGCTTCACAGAGAAGGTGGCATTTAAGAAAGAGAATTGTGTACTGTAGTTTATAATGCATAAAATGCTTTCAGGTTCATTATCCCATTTGATCTTAAAATAGTCCTTTGAGGGAGATGTTATTATCCCATTTTACAGACGAGGAAACAGGTTTCTAGAGAGGTAGTGAATCGCCCAAGGCCACACAACTGCCCAGGACTGTAACCCACATCTCCTGATTCTAGACCTATGCTTGTTCTGCCATGTCAGGCTGACCCCTGAAGAATGAGGAAGATTTTGGTAGGAAGTGCAGTAGAGGGGAATCAGGAGAAGGGAGATACATTCCAGGAAAAGGGAACAGCGTGAGCATAGGCCTAGAGATTGAACTGTGTTTAGCTTTAGGGGGACTCCTTGATGAGTAGTTTCGGAATGACTTAGGATAAGAGGCAGGAGAGACTGTAGAGGCCAGATGCCTGACTTAAGATGCTGCCACTAGATGCTGCAGGCTGTGGGGTCACTGCAGGATTTTAAGGAGGAGAGAGTGCTCTACCAGTGCTAGGTGGAGATAGGCCACAGTAGAGGAGGGAGACCAGTTGAGTTACTGCTGCAGCTGTTGCCTCAGTGTTGAAAAGACCCTGTTGAGGAGCATAACCTGAGAGCTTTAGAATCATAGAAGCCCTGGGCTCCAGGCCTGGCCCTACTTGCACATCTGTAAAATGTGGAGAATTATGAACTTTCTTATCCCATGGAGTCATTCTAGGGGTTCAAGGCAAGAAAGCAGTTTGTAAGTCATTGAGACAAATGTTAGCTTGTGTAAAAATAACATTTTCCCTTTAATTATTAGATGTGAAGTACCATCTTCCTCATTGTGGCTTCTCTCTATAGCCCTTGGGCTGGGGGTAAGATGTCTGCCCAAGGGAAGCTGCTCCATTCTCTCTCCATCATCCCTCCCTCCTTCCTTGTACCTATTTCCAGGAGGAGCTGGCTCTGTGTGGCTCCAGGCTGCTGATCTTGGGCTCTTTCCTGCTTCTCTTCTGTGGCCTTCTCTGCTGTGTTACTGCTGTGTGCTTCCACCCACGTCGAGAGCCTCACTGGGCTAGAACCCGACTCTGATGGCATTGGCCCAGTTCCTGCCTTGTTCTCAGGTGAGATCCTTTGGGACAGGGAATGGGGCAGGGGTGGCGATCATTCTCAAATATTGCTTCCTCTGGGTCCCTGGGAGCCCCATTACTACAGCTCTCCCTAGGACTGGGGACAATTTACACCATCAGCATTCAACATTTTTCTTAGGTTTTTTTTTTTTTTTTTTTTTTAATCTGGCTTTGCTGGTTAGACTTTGGGCTGCTAATCAACAAGCCACTAGTCACTCCAAGAGAGAAAGATGACACAGTCTGCTCCCTCATATATAGCTCCAGAATATACAGTCCTAGAAACCTTATATAGGGTCACTATGAGTTAACATCAACTTGGTGGCAGTTTTATTTATGAAATGCTTAACACTCATGTAGAAAAGCCCACAGAACCTGAAAGTATAGTTGGTCAAATTCTTTTAAAGCAGATATTCTTGTAAACATCACTCAGACAAAAATGTAGAATATTAGCTATAACTCAGAAGCTCCCCATTGTCCCTTTATTTCTGACAACACCTTCCCTCCTCCTAGAGGTAACTATGATCTTGCTTTATATAGTTTATCACCAAGTATGCATTCCTAAACAATTTGGTTTCGTTTTACATCTTTTTGAACTTTAATGTGATCATACAACACATATTTTGTGACTATAGTTTACATCCAAGCTCTTTTTTAAAAAAAATGTGGGTCCTGTAGGCTAAGAAATGGATTGCTAGCCACAAGGTCAGCAGTTCAACCTACCAGCTGTTCCTGGGAAACCCTGTACAGGGTCATTATGAGTCAAAACTGACTTGATAACACTTAAAAACAGAATTCTACAGATAACATGAAATACAAACACACTACACAGACATTTTGAAATTGGTAACAATGATGAGTTTGAACGGTTTGATGAGTTTGAGGATGTATCTTTAAGAGGAATCATGCTTGTCTTTCTTTTTTCCTAGAATCATGATACCTAGTATTCCGATGCAAGTTTTGTAAAATTCAATTTGAGCAGCTCAAATAAATTTCATTGATGATGTTAATAATAAAAGCTGCCATTTACTGGGCACATACTCTGTGCCCACGCACTTTATATGTACTATGCCTTTTCCATTTAGTCGTCCCTGAATTTAGAAAAAGTTGGTCCTGATAACAGGATCCTTCACTACTATGAAGATAACGGTGGGTGGCGAACACTTTGGCTAACCAGTCAGCTTACTGGGAAAAAATATTTCTGTAAAAAATCCTCACTCTGACTGGTGGGGCTCCTAGTCTGAGAGCTATGCAGGGAGCCCTCAAAAAGTTCATGGAAAAATTCCATTATCTTTTCATTCCATTCTGTCCACAAACTTTTTGAAGCCTCCCACCTCTATGTTGTACCAGATCCTTAACTGTTGTCAGTTTCATCTGGCTGCTGTGCTCCAGGAAATAACTGGGAGAAATTAAGAAAGAGCCAGGGCCCAGGGAAGAACTCCACTAGACGAACTGTAAGCACAAGATCAACGTTGTTCATATCACCATTTTGCTTAAAGCTGGGCCTGACTACTTCAGCCACCTACATGGGACAGGAAGTGGTGTAGCCCTCTCATCCTTTTCAGATATGAGTCACCTGGGAAGACAGGTTTTCTGGCCCCTGGCAGATCCCAGGACACTGAGGTCATCCTGATTGGGATAAGTGCCCACTCCTATCTGTAGTTGTCGTGGCCAGTGCTCCTTTCTCAATTTCTATAGTCATTTCAGAGCTCTCCCCAAGGGCCATTGACCTGCCCTGTGCTTTAATTTTCTTTCTGTCTTCCCCAGGTCTGAATCAACCTCTTGGGCCTTGGTTCTGAGATGGAAGAGATGTTACAAAAAGTGAAGAGCTGGGATGTGGGGATGAATAAAAAGCTTTTTTTGCCTAGTGCTCCTGGGGTGTTAATTGGGGATTAGAACTTTGGATTTTTCTCCCCGTGTGTTCATTTAGGACACAAGTTGGATGAGGACTGAGGTCCTCATCTCTTACCACTGTGTGACTGGGTGTTGGAAAAGACTTTATGCCTTGTTTTCTTCTGTGAACTGAAATTGATAATAATTCCAGCTACTTGGGAGGGTCAAGTATGTGTATGTGTAGTCATGGAAGCGCTTTGGCATAAATGCAGTATGACCTTGGGCAGGTCATACAAATTCCCAGGCCCTCCGTTTCATGAAGGGATTTGACCTACAGAGTTTTCCCAGAACTTTAGTGCCAAGATTCCTCGATTTGGGAACCCAGGTCCAGGTTGGATGGTCACCAACTTCAGAGCAGCCCATTTTCCCGCCTTTTCTGTGCCCAGCAGCAGCTTTCCCTTACCCCTCCCAACCTCTACCCTGAACGCAAGCGCAGATCGCAATTTCTCCTTCCTTTCCACCCGCTCCTGGTCAAAGCTTCCCCTAGCAACAAGCTTGAGCTCAGCGCTAAGGCGGAACGAGCGCATGCGCTACAGTTCTCTCCGCGACCAGTATCCAACCGTGCGCGGGGCTCCTCCCACTCCAAGACTATCCCTTCTCCCCTCCTCCAGGGTCCGCGTGGCGGGGCGCGCGCGCACTCAGGCTTGGTGGCAGCCCATCTCCCAGACCGCGGCAGCGAGGAGAAAGGGGCGGAGCCGTTTCACTCAGGGCTCCGCCCCTTTGGCCCGGCATCCCTACCGCGCCTGCGCGCTCCCGCCCGGTCTCCATCTTGGAATTGGGAGGAAGAGGGAGAGGGGAGATCGGGACGAGACCAGGGCTGTGTTGCGGAGAGGCTGTGACGGAAAAGAAGCGAGCGAGAGAGAGAGGGTGCGGGGACCTCCTGCAGCGTCTTAGTTACAATTTTGCCATTATCCTGGGAAGAGAGAAGGGAAAAGGGAGAAGACCGGGGCGGGAGTAAAGGCTGTCACCCTCAGATCCTGCCGTGAGAGGGGCCGAGCGGCCGGACGTCCTCGAGGTGGGCTCCCCTATCGGAGGCCGAAGATCCGGGTTTCAGGCTCTTGGGTCCCAAATTTTCGGGTTTGGCCCATCGCTTCTCTCATATCCGGCTCAGCCCCTCAGATTTCAGATATCCGGAACTCAGGTCCCAACCTCTCCAAACCTAGGGCTCTCTCTCATAGGATTTCAAATATCTGGGATTCAGGCCCCTCGGTGCACCCGTGTCCGGGTTCATTCTCCAGGTTTTCAAATACAGAATTCAGTCTCCCGCGCTCAAATATTCGGGGTTCAGACCCCCACAATCAGAAATCCGGGATTCGGCGACTGTCGCCCTCGAGGAGAAGGAGGACTGGACCGCGAGGTCAGATCAGGTTGTCACCCCCTCCCCTCCAGGGGAGGCTTCCCGGGCCCGCCCCTCAGGAAGGGCGAAAGCCGTGGAAGAGGTGGCAAGGGGAAGGGTCTCCTTGCCCCTCTCCCTGTTTGGCAGAGCCGCTGGAGGACCCCAGGAGGAGGCGGAGGCGCTGGGGCATCATAGTGACCCCTTCCAGGTGAGAAGCGGGGTGCAGGGGCGCGGGTCCCTGTGTCTAGCACTGAGAAGAAAGAGTGCTCCTTTCTGAAAAGCTGGGCCCGAGGGTGGGGAAGCCTGGCTGGGCCAGTGGTCAGCCTTGCCTTATGTTGCCAACCTCTCCCCTTCATTGTGTCTGGTTAATGGGGATCTTAGGTGACAGGGTCTCCTATGTCACGGAAGATCACACCCGAGGATACTTGAGTTAGTCGAATGGGTCTGCACCCATGTGCTGTGCTTCCCTGATCACTTTGCTTCTCACAGCCCCTTCTCCCTTTTCCTGGCTGTTCTGGGTGTTGGTTCCCATGCTTCTGATAATCCATGGTGGGTCAGGATATGCTTTTTAGCCCTGGTTCAGTTGGGTGCCTTGTCCTTGCAAAGAAATGTGTGTGTGTGTGTGTGTGTGTGTGTGTGCGCGCGCGTGTGCACACGCTGTGGAGGTATTGCTGTGGAGGTATTGTGTGTGTCAGGGCTGCCTGGCAATATTTGCCCCCAGCTTCAATTCCCTTCCACCTTTTTGTGACGGTGTGAATAATCTACCTCTCAAAGTGCTTTTACCCCCATTCTTGTAAGCCCCACCATTCACCCATTCACCCTGGTAGGGTGGGGTGGGGAGAGGAGGATGGTGCTTATTGACTGCTGTCTTCCCATTTTACAATTAAGAACATTGAAGCTCAGAGAGATTGCCCAGAGCCACACAAGTAGCAGAATTAGGATTTGAACCCAAGCCTTGGATCAAGTCTTGCCCCTGCTCGCTCTCTTTTCCTCTGAGCCTGGGCTCAGCAAATGTTCCAGAGGAAAACGGGTTGGAGTGAGGTTGAAGAATGGGGGTTGAGATGAACTTCCTTTCCAGGAGGACTATCCTCAGGATTTTCCTAATGGGAGACTCTGACTCCAGCTTTCTGCCTCATGGATTTTTCTCTGTATTGTGACCTTCATCTTTACCCTGATCCCAGGTTCCTGAAAAGATTCTTTTTACAAATGGTGGTCATAATGTGGTCTCTTAACAGTTAAAACCAAGCTGCTGGGGTATGATGACACCCCCCCCCAAGGGATTAAAATGGTGTTGTGATCCTGGAGATGGGGAATAAAAAATCCATATGTTTAGTGTCTGCTAAGTGTTCCTAAGTATGGATCCCATTAAAATCTTACAACAGCCCCACGTTGCAACTCATTTTCCAGAAGAGAAAACCAAGCAAGTATAAGGAACTTACTCAAAGCCCTGTTGCTGAACCTTGCTGCTGGGAGGTTCTGGCAGTGTAGTAGCTTAGAGACAGATGGACTTGGGTTTCCTCATCTACAGAATGAAGATAAAATTGTACATCTTAGAAGTTGAGATTTAGCACAGAGATTTGTAATCACTCAGTAAACGTCCAGATTTTTGGTACCCTTACATGTGGCTTGGGTTCCTGGATTGGCGTTTTGGGACTGGGTGCTAGGAAAGAAGTCAAGAAAGTTCTTTTAGTAAATTGTGAGCACCTGCCTTTATGTGTGGGTGTGTGGTGGGAGTGAGGGGTGCCTGCCTGCTGGTAGGAGAGGGGAGAATGGGGCCTGTTTATAACAGCCTGGGAAGTGCTGAGGGCAGTCTATCAATCTCCCAGGCTATTCTGAGTTTTCTGCGCCCTAGGGACCCACCAGAGTCCCTCCAGTTTCCAATTGGGCTGAGGAGACAGAATTAACAGCACAACAGGAAACAATGCATGAAAGAGTATAATTACGTGTGAAATTGTTAGGTGTTTTTAAGTAGCTAGCACTCAGCCCCAGGAGTCCAGCTCTACTGAAGTCTCCTTTGTGTCCTTGACCTGAGCCTAGGTTCCTGCAATTGCTTAGCTTTGGCCTAGAAGCCCCTCGGAAAGCCAGTCCCAAAGGAGCTTCCCGAGAGTTGTTTGCCTGGTGCTCTAAGGGCTCTTCCAAGGGCTGGAATGGTCAGGGAGGCTGTCTGCAGGCAGTGGGCTGAGAGTAATGAGCTTGCAAGCTGACAGGAGAGGAAAAGGTCCTGTTATCTGACCATGGAGACATCATCTTTCCTCTCTGTGCCTCAGTGACCTAATCTGTGAAATGGTGGTAATGACCCCTGCCCTACTTGTTTCATAGGGTTGATCTGAAAGCACAGTGATGGGAGGACCAGCCCTGGGCAAGTCACTGAAATCTTTCTGAGCTGGTTTCCTCATCTATAAAATGGGTGCAATACTTACCTTGCAGGGTTGTGTTGAGAGTTGAGTGATAGGTAATACTTGGAAGGTACTTACTGTATGTGCTCAATAAATGTTATTTGGGCTCTAAAAATGCCCTGCACCCGTGTTGTGCTTATGCAAATGGACTGGACAAGTAAGGCAACCCTAATCACAGGCCCCTAAAGCCAGGTTCTGTTTACAGCCTTGTCTTTCCCATTCTGGATCTCCTCACTGCCAGTGTCTTTACCCACTTTTGAGAGTGAGTCTTCGGTCTTCTCTGGGCTAATACCCACTTCTAACAATGGCCGGATTTCCACTGCCTCCGGCCTGGCCATTTCCTGTTCTCTTCCAGGGTGTGAGAGGTTGAAGGAGGAGGGGGCCTTGCACTTAGGGGAACAGGAAGGTGCCTGGAAATAGTTGGGGTATGAGACTTGTGAGATAGGACACTTGGGGCTGTGCTTGGAAAGCAGAGTCTTTCATTCTTGAGGGGAGAAGCCAGGGTTAGTAGGGAAATGAGGACTTGTTGAGGACTGAGGAGGATGCTTAGCTTCCCAGAGTCTTTCTAGCAGTTGTAGGGACTCCAGGGACCCGGCCCCCGTGCTCTGGTTGCCAGGGCAACTTCAGTTTTTGGAGCTTTGATGTTTCTAATCTCCCCCTGCCCTTCCTCAGCAGCGCCTCCCCCTCATCAGGGAACTAGAAGAGGAGAAGGCAGAAACCTGAGGGCCCCCTTCCCTCTCTAAGGGTCCCTTCTCTATTCACCAGGCCAGGCCCCACCCTAAGGGCCCCCGGGGGTCACCATGCCGGCCGGGGGCCGGGCTGGAAGTCTGAAGGACCCTGATGTTGCTGAGCTCTTCTTTAAGGATGACCCTGAAAAGCTCTTCTCTGACCTCCGGGAAATTGGCCATGGTAGCTTTGGAGCTGTGTACTTTGTGAGTTGAGGCTTGGGAGGGTGGGATAAGGGTGGAAAGTCTACTCCCCAGCAGCCCATCAGAGCAGCCCCATTACCCTACTCTATCACATCAGCCTCTCCTGGGCCAGCAAGTCCCTCTGATTCTCGTTGGGGGCCTTCTCGCTTGCTGATATGCTCTTCTGATATGCTGTCCTAGGCCCGGGATGTCCGAAGCAGTGAGGTGGTGGCCATCAAGAAGATGTCCTATAGTGGGAAGCAGTCAAACGAGGTAGGTCAAACTTATTAAGACCAGGTAGGGGTAGAAGACTCCAGTCTCAAGATGCAAGCTGGGTGACCCTCTCCTCCCTGGCTTCCCTCCAGAAATGGCAGGACATCATCAAGGAGGTGCGGTTCCTGCAGAAACTCCGGCATCCCAATACCATTCAGTACCGGGGCTGTTACCTGAGAGAACACACAGCTTGGGTAAGCTGGCCGCCTGACTTTGACTTGATCTTTACCCCTACTCTGGCCCATTTGTATCCTGGTCCCGCCTCCTGTTCAGGCTGCAGTTGGGGGAACTTGGAAGGGGAAGTCTTGTTCTGACCTCTCTGGTCCTTACACAGATCAATGAGCAGCAGTGTCAGGCCAGGAGAAGCTGGCTAGGAGATTCACAGGGACTTCTAGCAACCAGAGAAGGGAGAAGGGCATATGTGCTGGGAGAGGTAGAAAATGAAGAGAGCTTTGTAAAGATTCTCCTGGCAGTGATGGTGAATGTCGTGGGCTCTTTCTAGGAGACCCTCTGGCTCCAAGAACTCCATCATCCCCTTGTTTTCTCCAGTGGCCCTTCCTCCCTGTTATTACCCTGGGGGCTGTGCCTGTGAATGGAGGATAGGCAAGGAAGCTCTCTGGTTTGGGTTTCTGCCCATGGGAGCTTGGCCAGGGGTGGCCAGGATCTGCTGACCTCTGACCCTTGACCCTTCCTCAGCTGGTGATGGAGTATTGCTTGGGCTCCGCTTCTGACCTTCTAGAAGGTAAGTGACTGGCTAAGAAATGGGAGAATAGAAAGGAATGGTAAAGCTACAGGGGATAGTTACGGGGAGGAGCTTGCTCTGGCCAACTATTTGGCTCCCTTAGATGATGTTTTTATCTCACTCTCCAGTGCACAAGAAGCCCCTTCAGGAGGTGGAAATTGCAGCCGTGACCCATGGAGCCCTTCAAGGCCTAGCTTACCTGCACTCCCACAACATGATCCATAGGTATAGACAGTACTGACTATGGCAGGCAGGGGGTGCTCTTTATACTCCACACTCAACTGGGCTTCAGACTTTGTTCTGGGAAACTGCTAAAGCCCCTGTCCACCTTCCTGAAATGCATTTCTCATCCTGCACTTTGCCTCTGGCAGGGATGTGAAGGCTGGAAACATCCTCCTATCAGAGCCAGGCCTGGTGAAGCTGGGGGACTTTGGATCTGCATCCATCATGGCACCTGCCAACTCCTTCGTGGGCACCCCATACTGGTGAGTGGGAGTGTGTAGAGAAGAGAGCTCCCAGAATGTTGGGAGCAGGGAGTTGCCAGGGTCAGGGTGGGTGATGAGTCTCTTATTCGTGGCCATTCTTCCAGGATGGCTCCAGAGGTGATACTGGCCATGGATGAGGGGCAGTACGATGGCAAGGTGGATGTCTGGTCCTTGGGGATAACCTGCATTGAGCTGGGTAAGGACGTGCTCTTTTCTGCTCCCTCATCCACTTTTCTCCCTAGACCTTTCCCTTTCTCTTTCTGTGCCTGTGCCAGCCCATCCTCCTTTCCAGCTTTCAAGTTCCCATTTAGTTTATCTTTGAGCTCCTACAGCCAGCCATCAAGTCCTGCTGGCTTTTAGACTCGTCTCTTCCTGTCCGCTATCCTAGTTCTAAATCTGCTAAATTCTGGGGGTACAGTAGTGAATGAGGTAGTCGCATAGGCTCTGGCCTCATAGATCTTACATTTGATTTGGAGAAACAGTTGTGTTTTCTCTCGTTGTGATGACTGCTGGCTAGAGAAGTTATTTGTTGATAAGTACCGTGGAATAGGTTCCGATTCATAGTGACCCTGCACAGGGTTTCCGAGGCTATAAATCTTTACGGGAGCAGAACGCCTCATCTTTAATCCTGCGGAACCACTGGTAGTTTTGAACTGCTAACCTTACGGTTGGCAGCCTGACTCGTAACCACTACGCTACCAGAGTTATAGGAGCCATAAAAACAGCAAGAGGGTAGACCTAGTTTAGGGGCCAAGGAAGACAACACTGTAGCAAAGATGTTTAAATACACCTAGAAGACAAATAGCCATTTGAAGAATGTCTGGGAGAGCATTCTGGATATAGAGGACAAGTGTGGTTGCTTAGAAGATAGCATGTAATGCGAAGAGCAGTGAGTGATCAGGCCAGAGAGTCAAGCTACAGTGGGTTCATGAAACCTTGCATCCATGCCTAGCTTCTTGTCTCTGTCCTCTTAAACAGTTGAAACAGCTATTTAATGAGCTAACACTTATAAGCCCCCAACAGTATCAGGCACAAAATAGTTGCTGTTAACTCACTGCCATTGAGTTGACTCATAGTGGCCCTATGTTGTTGTTGTTAAGTGTCATCAAGTTGGTTCCAACTCACAGCAACCCTGTATAGTGTTTCTGTGGAGTGGCTGGTGAGCTTGAACCACCAACCTTGTGGTCCATACCAACTATGCAATCCAGCGTATTAACCAACAGCACCACAGTGGCCTTATAGGACAGAATTGCTCACTAGGGTTTTCAAGAATGTAGATTTTTTACAGGAGCATCTTGCTCCTGAGGAGTGGCTGATGAATTCGAACTGCTGACCGTGCAGTTAGTAGCCCAACACATAACCCACTATACCACCAAGGCTCCTTTTATAGTTGTTATTAGTTACTCTTGTATAACCTTCCCTATTGCCGATCTTTTTCCTTCTAGTCTCTTCTATACTGATGCCAGAGAGATACTGTCCTACTCAGAGCCACAGTGGCTCCTCACTGAGCCATCCCGATCCTTCTTATAATAGATTAAAGGCTCTGTTTTCTGGGGATTGGCTTTCTCCTTCACAAGCTACATCCTTTATTTGTGCTATGAACTTCTCTGCTTCACCTCTACCTGAGGTGAAAGATTTGCACATGGTCTTTCCATCCATGTCTCCATGTCCACATTCGTCATTTAGGGCAGGACTAGATAGCTGATGGAAGTATGTGAGAGAGGTCAAGTATTTTTAAAGTTTAGATCTGTCTGTTTTAGTCCCAGTTTTAGGGAGAAATCTGGGTGCAGGGAAATACTTCTCTATAGAAAAAGAAGCAAACGTGGTTATAAATGGCATCTGATACTCTGGGGTATACTGAGGGATGGAGGAGACTTGGTCAAACTGGGGATTGCTAGTCCCATGTAAAGAGGGATCCTGGTGTGGCGCTGTGGATTAATGCACTGAACTGCAGTGTTGGTTTGAACTGCAAGGTCAGTGGCTCAAGCTCACCAACTGCTCCTCGGAAACCCTATACAGGGTCGCTATGGGTCAGAACCGACTTGACAGTGCTTAGCAAGAACAACAATATTGCTTAATTTCAGATCATCATTATATAAGAATATAGACTCCAGATTATCACATCTATTTTTATTGTAAGATAAACTGGAAATTTAGATTGTTTTAATTATTATTGTTGGCAACTAACTTTTAAGAAGTCACTGTTTAGGCCAGAAATATAAATAAAATGTGTGTCTAAGCCACAAGCCACTTCTGGCATGCAACTTTTGAGCAAAAGCCGAGCTCTAATATCCTCTTTTCAAAAAGACCTTTCTTGCATTTCCTGCAAATTTACTAATCTAAGGCCAATCTTCTATCTTAAGTGTCAAAGCCATTTTTAACTGTCTTCTTCTTGTGCCGATTAACACTTTAAACTTTATGTTATTCATTTAGTCTTATTTAATCTTCTGCCTTAGACTGGAAGTTCCTTGAAGACAGGAGCTGTCTCTTGTTTTTCTTTATCTTCCCTGTAATAATTTAGCAGTATTTGGTATCTCTTAAATACCAATTAGTATTTAATAAGAACCAAATGAGATCAAATTTTAAATATTAATTGGGGTTTTGATGTGCTTGCTGTCTGATAAGCACTAGACTGCTAACTGCAAGATCAGCTGATCAGACGCACCAGCCACTCTTTGAAAACCCTATACAGTGTCACTTGAGTCAGACCAACTCAAAGGCACTTAACAACAGCAAATACTAATCGGATCTCTTAACTGAATATGCTTCCTTCTGTCTTCTTTGTGGGGTTCCTGAAAAGTCATGCTTTCTTTAAAACAGCACTTTACAGTTTACGTAGTACTTTTACATATGTTATTTTCTTTGATCTTTATTCAAACCCTCGTGTGCAGTGGTCAGGATAGATGTATTTTACAGAGGAAAGAGTGAATTGAGACCCTATACAATTATGGGCATTGGTCAAGGTTATACAGCAACGAAGGAAGGGAGATTGGGTTTGAACTCATGTCTTCTGAATCCTGTTCTAGTCTCCTCTGTCCACCTGCCATCTCTTACCTTTTCACACTTGACTTTTCTCTGTAGCGGAACGGAAACCACCGCTGTTCAACATGAATGCAATGAGTGCCTTATACCACATTGCACAGAACGAGTCCCCCGTGCTCCAGTCAGGACACTGGTGAGACTGGGATTTCTGGGCCAGGGCTTCAAGCATGTGAGTAAGCCATGAGATAAGGTACCCTGCCTCATGCTCCTTCTTCTTCCCCAAACCTGTGATGATTTCAGGTCTGAGTACTTCCGGAATTTTGTTGACTCTTGTCTTCAGAAAATCCCTCAAGACAGGCCAACCTCAGAGGTTCTTCTGAAGGTGAGGGTTCACAGTTCTCATGTTCTCCTAGAGCTGATTCCAGCCTCAAGAAGCCCTCCATGAAACTGCTGTTGGTGCTGTTTCGTGCTGTAGAGTCAGTTCTGACTAATGGTGATCAGTCTCCGTGTGTGTGGAGAACTGCTGTATAGGGTTTGGCAGGCCTCTGTTCTGAGGTTCCTCTGGGTGGGTCAACTTTGTAGCTTGTAGCTGATCACTTAACTATTTATGCTACCCAGGGACTCCATTCAGTGAAATTAGTATTTCTCGATTCTTCCTCCACCAAGAAATCCCACCTGCATCCTAGAGTTCTGGTACACCACAGGAAGTAAGCACTGGACTGTTAACTGATTGCTAACTGCAAGGGCGGCAGTTCAAACCCACTGTAGCTACTCCTCGGAAACCTTATATAAGGTTGCTATGCGTCAGAACCAATTCTACAGCATTTAACAACCACCACCACCATCCCCTGTGCCCAGTTGACTCTGCTTTATTAGATTTGGTCTACCAGACTGCCATAATTTTTGAAGTAATTGTCTTGCTACCTTTTGTAGAGACTGGGCAGTACAAAAAGTTTCTGTGGGAGGAAGTATTGGGACAAGGCCATTATCAACCCGTAGTTGGCATGGGCCCCAGGGAAATGCCTTTGGCCCTGGATAATGCTGAGGTCCATGGCTATGGGCGGGGATGGAGGGGTGCTGCTTGGCAGCAGACTTCAGTATTCTCTTCTGGTCCCTACCCCAGCACCGCTTTGTGCTTCGGGAACGGCCACCCACAGTCATCATGGACCTAATCCAGAGGACCAAGGATGCTGTTCGGGAGCTGGACAACCTACAGTACCGCAAGATGAAGAAGATATTGTTCCAAGAAGCACCCAATGGTCCTGGCGCTGAGGCCCCAGAGGAGGAGGAGGTGACCCATCTTGCCCCATCACTCATATAACCCCATGCTGTGTCACTTGCCCCTCATAGACCCTCTATCTTTTTGTGCTGTCTCCATGCACCACTCCCGTCCTGCCCTACCCTGCCCAACAGCCTGCACCCTGTCTACAGGAGGCAGAGCCCTACATGCACCGGGCTGGCACACTGACCAGTCTTGAGAGTAGCCATTCAGTGCCCAGCATGTCGATCAGCGCCTCCAGCCAGAGCAGCTCTGTCAACAGTCTAGCAGATGCCTCAGACAATGAAGAGGAGGAGGAGGAGGAAGAAGAGGAAGAAGAAGAGGAGGAGGAAGGCCCTGAAGCCCGGGAAATGGCCATGATGCAAGAGGGAGAGCACACAGTCACCTCCCATAGCTCTATCATCCACCGGCTGCCGGTATGCAGCTCCCCCTGAGTGAGCCTATCAGAGGCAAGTAGCCAAGCCCAAGCTTTCCCTTCAGGGATCCCTCCTTAAGCTTTTCCACTCCTTCCCTGAGTCTGACTGGGTTTCCTCAAGCAGCTCCCTTTAGGCCAAGTCTCTGCGCCTTGGGTATCCCTTCCACCTTCCCTTCCTCTAGGGCTCTGACAACCTGTATGATGACCCCTACCAGCCAGAGATGACTCCAGGCCCTCTCCAGCCACCCACAGCCCCAGCTCCTACCTCTACCACCTCTTCTGCCCGCCGCCGGGCCTACTGCCGCAACCGGGACCACTTTGCCACCATTCGTACAGCCTCCCTGGTAAGTGTAGCCATCCCCAGTGTCCATTTTTCAACATCAGGATGCCCTAGACTGTCCTTCCTAAGTCCAGAAATCATTTCTACCTGTCGGCACCAGATTGAGTTCTAGTGCTACCATCACTTTCTGTTGTTGGCTCTTGCCTTCTTCTCACCTTGTACTTCCTCCTTCCCCTCCCCCACAGTCTGTGTGACCCAGTGTAAATTAACATGTCCTGGGTGCCTTTCCAGGCTCCTCTGGCCAGTTGGGTGCTTCACATCCTTATATACAGACACATGTCAGCTTTCACTGCAGCACTCTTCAATGACGTTATAACAGATCTGCTGGATTCTCTGCCTTAGAGGGCAGGGGTGGTTTTCAGGTATTTGCCTCACCCATATGATTGGCTCAGACCCACAGACATGATTGTATCCAGTCTTCAGGTGGTCAGGCAGGGGAGGGGATCCTTCCCATTTGAGCGATGAGGCAACTGTGGCTCTGAGAACTGCTGTCAGGTACCTTCAGTGGTTTTCAAACTCTAAGCAGGACTGTAGATCTTCTCTAAAATCAAGCTATGACAGTCTTCTCAGTTTACAGAAAGTAAAGGTTGGAATTTTCATAAAGTGTAGTTATTTCATTCCTATTTTTACATCAATGTGTGGATCACAGTCCTGCTTAACTGATGCATTTGTGTGCCAGTTATCTTCTTAGAGGCCACTAGTTGACTCTCTGGTTTGGTGTCATCAAGTCACTTCTGACTCCTAGCGATCTCATATACAACAGAGCAAGACAGCCCAGTCCTGCACCAACCTCTTCCTCCTTGCTATGTGCGAGACCATTGTTGCAGCTGCCATCAATCTATCTTGAGGGTCATCGTCTTTTTTTCTGACCTTGTACTTTACCAAGGAGTCCTAGTATGGCGCTGTATGATAAACACTGGACCACAAGGTCAGTGTGAGCTGCAAAGTTGGCAGTTCAAACCCACCAGCCACTCCCCAGAAACCATATACAGGCTTGTTATGAGTCAGAACTGATTATTAAGCATGATGTCCTCCTCCAGGGACTGGTCCCTCCTGATAATATGTCCAAAGTGTGTAAGACAAAGGCTCATCATCCTTGCGTCTAAGGAGCATTCTGGCTATACTTCTTCCAGCACAGGTTTGTTCGTTCTTCTGGAACTCCTTAGTATATTTAATAGTCTTTGCCAACACCATCATTCAAAGGCACCAGTTTTTCTGTCTATCTGATTCATTGTCCAGCATTCACGTGCATATGAGGCAATTTGAAATACCATGACTCTGGTCAGATATACCAAGAGACGTCTTTGCTTTTTAGTACTTCAAAGTATCTTGCCCAATGCGATAATATGTTGTTTAATTTCTTGAATACTGCTTCCATGAACTTTAACTGTGTATCCAAGTAAAGTGAAATCCTTGACAATGTCCATCTTTTCTGTCTATCATGATGTTGCTATTGGTCTAGTGAGGACTTTGGTTTTCTTTATGTTGAGGTGTAGTCCACACTGGGGCATATAGTCTTTGATCTTCCTCAGTGTTTCACGTTCTCTGCATTGTCAGCAAGCAAGGTTGTGTCATCTGCATATTACATATACTTGTGGCTAGTGGTTCTACCAGAACAGTTTTTCAAGCCCTGCAATGCTTGTCACTTTGTGATACTTTCCAGAGAGGGCTTGTGACCGCCTGAGATTTAAGACTAGACTAGTTGGGCCCACTGACAACTGGATGAACCTTGGAGGACATCCAGACCCAGTGTTCTTGCTACTCCAGCAGCTTGGGACCCAGATCCCAGCTCAGCACCTAATCAGTGTTTAATGGACCCTTGATGATCATGCTGGTGCTGCAGTGGGTTAAGCATTGAGCTGCAAACAGACCAATGGTTCAAGCCCACCAGCCACTCCATGGGCAATATTGAGACATCTGTTTTTATGAAGATTTTCAGCCTTGGAAACTATGGAGCATTTCTCTGTCCCATAGGGTCACTGAGTCAGAATTGACTCAGTGTCACTGTGTTGTTTGGATTGAATTGCTGAAAGGGAAGGATGCCAATACTTACTGGATCAGAGAGTGTTCCAAACACATTTACATATGTACCAAACTCACTAACTTCCGTAGCCTTCTGCAGAGATAATTTGTTTTCGTAGATGAGGGAATTGAAGTCACGTGGTAAGTAAGTAACAGAGCTGGGGTTTTGAGTTTAGGTCAGTCTGATGTTTCTTTTCTTTTGACCTAATCTGAATTGTGCCTACTTTTGTGCTGGGCCCATTGCTCAGCATCCACTATCATTTCATTACACTGACCTGCGAAGTAGACATTGTCCATTGAGGAAATAGGTTCGGTGAAGTGTTTTATTTGGGGTCACACAGTAAGGAAAGTATCAAATAACATTAAAATTCTACTCTGCCTGAGTCCAAAACATACACTCTTCCCCTTAGAGCACGAAGACAATCTGGGTTAATAAGATGGGATCCAGGGCTGATCCAGGATGATCTCTCATCCTCTCCACACCCCAGGTAAGCCGTCAGATCCAGGAGCATGAGCAGGATTCAGCTCTTCGTGAGCAACTGAGTGGCTACAAGCGAATGCGACGTCAGCACCAGAAGCAGCTGTTGGCCCTGGAGTCACGGCTGAGGGGTGAGCGGGAGGAGCACAGTGCCAGGCTGCAGCGGGAGCTCGAGGCACAGCGGGCTGGCTTTGGGGCTGAGGCAGAAAAGTTGGCACGACGGCACCAGGCCATTGGTGAGAAGGAGGCACGGGCTGCCCAGACTGAGGAGCGGAAGTTCCAGCAGCACATTCTTGGGCAACAAAAGAAGGAGCTGGCTGCCCTGCTGGAGGCACAGAAGCGCACCTACAAACTTCGGAAGGAGCAGCTGAAGGAGGTAGGACAGGGCTGCAGTTGTGCATGGGGCTGGTGGTGGGGGAAGCAGGCCCTGACCTCCCTGCTCCCCACGTCCTGGCCCAGGAACTCCAGGAGAACCCCAGTACACCCAAGCGGGAGAAAGCTGAGTGGCTTCTGCGGCAGAAGGAGCAGCTCCAGCAGTGCCAGGCAGAGGAGGAGGCAGGGTTGCTACGGCGGCAGCGCCAATACTTTGAGCTACAGTGTCGCCAGTACAAGCGCAAGATGCTGCTGGCTCGTCACAGCTTGGACCAGGACCTGCTTCGGGAGGTAGACCACCCACCCTCACTCTCCTCTTGCTCTGGTCACAGATTCCATGTATCTGCCTTTGTTTCCCCTTTGATTTTCTTTCCTCTCTGTCCTCATTTGTATTTTGATTCCGTTTCTCTTCAGCACTCTAGCCCATCTGCACCAGACCCTGCTAGAGTTTCTTTAGAACTCTTTTCCCATGCCAACCAGCTTACACCCTCATCTCCTCTTCCACCTTTCCCCATCCCGAGCTGACTGGGCCCTGGACTCCCTCCCTTTTGCTTTAGGACTTGAACAAGAAACAGACCCAGAAGGACTTGGAGTGTGCACTGCTGCTGCGGCAGCACGAGGCCACGAGGGAGCTGGAGCTGCGGCAGCTCCAGGCCGTGCAGCGTACACGGGCTGAGCTCACCCGTCTGCAGCACCAGACCGAGCTGGGTAACCAGCTGGAGTACAACAAGCGGCGTGAGCAGGAGTTGCGGCAGAAGCATGCGGCCCAGGTTCGCCAGCAGCCCAAGAGCCTCAAAGTACGTGCAGGCCGGCGTCCCCCAGGCCTCCCGCTCCTCATTCCTGGGGCTCTGGGACCACCCAGCACAGGCACCCCTAGAGAAGAGCAGCCCTGTTCATCTGGCCAGGAGGCAGTCCTAGACCAAAGAATGCTGGGAAAGGACGAGGCAGCAGTTCCAGAGAGAAGGATTCTGGGAAAGGAAGGGGCCACCTTGGAGCCAGAGGAGCGAAGGATTGTGGGAGAAGAATCAGGAAGCCCTAGTCCCAGTTCACAGGAACATAGAAGTCTAGCTGATGAGGAAGTTTGGGATCTACCCAAGGAGGAGGTAGAGCAGCTTAGAGTCCCTTCCCTGACATCCCAAGAAAGGAGCATCGTGGGCCAGGAGGAGGCTGGGGCATGGGAGCTGTGGGGGAAGGAGGATGGGAGCCTTCTGGAGGAGGAGTTTGAACTAGGCTGGGTTCAGGCCCCAGCTCTGACCCCAGTCCCTGAGGAGGAGGAAGAAGAGGAGGAGGGGGCTCCAATTGGAACCCCCAGGGATCCTGGGGATGGCTGTCCCTCCCCAGACATTCCCCCCGAACCACCTCCAACATATCTGAGGCCCAGCCCTGCCAGCCAGCTCCCTGGCCTTCTGTCCCATGGCCTCCTGGCTGGCCTCTCCTTTGCAGTGGGTTCCTCCTCAGGCCTTTTGCCTCTATTGCTGCTGCTGCTCCCGCTGCTGGCAGCCCAGGGCGGGGGTGGTCTGCAGGCAGCACTTCTGGCCCTTGAGGTGGGACTGGTGGGCCTGGGGGCCTCCTACCTTCTGCTTTGTACAGCTCTGCACCTGCCTCCCAGTCTGTTCCTAATTCTGGCTCAGGGTATTGCACTGGGAGCTGTCCTGGGCCTGAGTTGGCGTCGGGGCCTTATGGGTGTGCCTCTGGGCCTTGGGGCTGCCTGGCTTCTAGCTTGGCCCAGCCTGGCTCTGCCACTGGTGGCAGTGGCAGCTGGGGGCAAGTGGGTGAGGCAGCAGGGTCCCCGGATACGCCGGGGCATCTCTCGACTCTGGTTGCGGGCTCTGTTACGTCTGTCGCCCATGGCCTTCCGGGCCCTGCAAGGTTGTGGGGCTGTGGGGGACCGGGGCCTGTTTGCACTCTACCCTAAGACCAATAAGAATGGCTTCCGTAGCCGTCTCCCTGTCCCTGGGCCCCGACGGGGTAGTCCCCGAACCGCCCAGCACCCACTGGCCCTCTTGGCAAAAGTTTGGAGCCTGTGCAAGGGCTGGAACTGGCACCTGGCACGGGCCAGCCAGGGATTAGCCTCCCACTTACCTCCCTGGGCGATCCATACACTGGCCAACTGGGGCCTGCTTCGGGGTGAACGGCCCAGCCGCATCCCCCGACTGCTGCCAAGAAGCCAGCGCCATCGGGGGCCCCCTGTCTCCCGCCAACTACCACCAGGGACTCTAGCTGGGCGGAGGTCCCGAACCCGCCCATCCCGGTCCCTTCCTCCCTGGAGGTGACCAACTCCAGCCTTTCCTCAGCCCAAAACTAGAGCATTGAGCACTTTATCTCTCACTACTCAGTGAAGTTTCCCTAGAACCAGGTCCTCCTCCCTTCAGTGTTCTTCACCAGCCATTGGACCTCTAGCCAGGTTGCCCCTCTACCGTGGAGTCAGGGAGTTCCACTCTGTCCTGACGCTGCTCCTACCCTAAGTTATTGCTGTCCTCCCGCTGTGTGTGTGTCTCATCCTCACCCTCCTCACCACTGGCCCGGGGCCTCAGGGTGGTGGGTGGGAAGAGTCACAGCGTGTTTTCTCCTCTTTGATTTTGTTTTTCTGTCTCCCTTCCAACCTGTCCCCTTCCCCCCACCAAAAACAAAGAAAAAGACAAACACAAATAAAATATCTGAGCGGAACTGTACCTTTGGCCCAGGCTGCCTCTGTCTGCTTTGTCCTGCCGCCTAGCCTCCCCGGTGTGCCCCCAGTCTGGACCCTTGACCACCCCCCATTCCATGACCTCTTCACTGCCATCTACGTTATCTTAACCCCTCTCACTCCTCAGCCTCATCCTCTCTGCCTGTGTGGTTTCATGGTACCACAACCACCCCCAGCTCTGGGTTCTGGGCTCCTGGTGAGCATCCACAGAACTTCTTGGCCCCACAGCTCCCCGGTGTATAGGTTCCTTCCAGAGAGTCCTTCGGATCTGGGTCCTTTGTCCTTTCAGCCCCTGCCTTCCCTCCCACCCCACTCCCTGCATGGTTGTCTGGGAGTAGAATTTCTCTACTGGTATCGAGTAGTACCAGAGGGTTGGGGGATGAGATTGTAAACCCTCCACATTGTGTGTGGTGGGGTAAGCTTGGAAAGCCAGGCAGAGTGTTTGGGGGCAGTGGAGATGGGATTGGTTGGGGGCTTGGACTGGGAGCTCAGTGTGTAAAGCTGGAATATGGATCTGATCAGGAGGGTGGCAGCTGCTGGCCCCTTGAATTTGTCAGGCCCTTTCTGGCCACTTCCTTCCGTTACTTGGCCCAAGGTGGGGCAAACCCCTTCTTCTCCATCTCTTAGCTCAGTGCTTCCCCTCCTTCCCTTCCTTTCTCCCTGAGGTGCCAAACCTGGGACTTCTCTGTCTTGTCTTAGTTGTGTTGCTTTCTTCATGGGTGTTTTATGTGACTTGGTTTTCTGACTCTTGTGCACATTCTTGTATTTGCTCACGTGTTTCTATCTCTAGGTCTTACTTTCTCCCTCTTTGCATGGTCAAAGCTTCTTGTCTATTCAGGATTCCATACAGATTCCTGCTTCCTTCTCTGTGAACATGCTCTATGATGCTCTTTCTTGTGGGGTTTCCACCCAGCTCTGTGAACATGTACTTGAAACCTGTCTTGTTTTCTCTGCATCTCTTGTCCAAGAGCCTTCCTGATCTCTCAACACAATCCCATCTCTCCGTGTCTGTCTGTATACAGCTCCCCCCGCCCCCTCTGTCTAACATGTTTTCTGTTTCTCTCCCGCTCCCTGTCTCTGCTTCTGTCTCCTCTCCTCCTCTCTTTCTTCTCCCCCTCTCTCCTGGTTGTTTCTCCTCCTCTTCCTTTTCCTCTTCCTCCCCCCCCTCCGCCCCCATCTCCCTTCAATCCATCCACTGCATAGTCTAAGGAGCTGCAGATCAAGAAGCAGTTCCAGGAGACGTGCAAGATCCAGACTCGGCAGTACAAGGCTCTGCGGGCGCACTTGCTGGAGACCACGCCCAAAGCTCAGCACAAGAGCCTCCTTAAACGGCTCAAGGAAGAGCAGACCCGCAAGCTGGCAATCCTGGCTGAGCAGTACGACCAGTCCATCTCAGAGATGCTCAGCTCGCAGGCGGTGAGGCCTGGGGTCCAGAGTGGAGCGCAGTGCATGTGGAGGGTGTAGACAGATGGGATCTTTTGTGCTTTCAAGTATTTATTTTACTGTTGGCGATCTCTATAGTGGTCTTAACCATTTCACCTAGTGTATCGTTAGGGGACTGGCAAAGCCAGCCTGCCCACTCTACCGAGAACCACTAAAGTGGCTGTAATTTGTTTACTGGCCCAGAGTTAGTTTAATGTTACAAGGAGCAGGTCAAAATAATTGTGGTCTTTGAGTCCATTTACCCAAAACTGGTGGATTTTGAAGGTTGCTGTTCTAAAATTAATCACACAAAGCACTGGGACTGAGCAATTGTAACAGAAGGGGCCCCCCATTCCTTCCATTCTCTCTCACCCAAACCCTCCTTCTCAAAAGTAATGATTGTTACTAATGACTAGATTTTTTCCTATGCATGTTTGGGAAATGATATATAAAACATTTAATCAGAAATTGAATCATACTTTACATTATTGTTCCTTACTTCCCTTTTAAGGAGCTCTGGTAGTGTAGTGGTTACGAATCGGGCTGCTAACCTCAAAGTTGGCAGTTCGAAACTACCAGCCATTCCATGGGAAAAAGATGAGGCTTTGTGCTCCCATAAAGACCTCGGAAACCCTGTACAGGGTCACTATGAGTCGGAACCGACTCCACGGCACATAACAACTTTTTGCACATATTTCCTTTTATTTTTTTAATTACATTTATGTAATCACTCTTCTTGGTGGACATGTAGGCTGTGTCCATTATTTTGCTTTACAACGTTTCAAGCACATGTGCATGTGTACCTGGGACCTAAATTCCAAAGTGTAATTGCTGTGTCACAGGTGTGACCATCTTTAATTTTGGTAGATGTTGAGATTGGCCATTACTTGAAACCTTAGGGCCCAAACTTGTCTGGGGCAGGGAGAATTCTGGGAGTAAGAACAAGATCTCTAAACTGTTTTTCTCTAGCTGCGACTGGATGAGACACAGGAAGCAGAGTTCCAGGCCCTTCGGCAGCAGCTTCAACAGGAGCTGGAGCTGCTCAATGCTTACCAGAGTAAGATCAAGATCCGCACGGAGAGCCAACACGAAAGGGAGCTGCGGGAGCTAGAGCAGAGAGTCGCTCTGAGGCGGGCACTGCTGGAGCAGAGGGTAAGGGGGCTCGGTCTCCAGAAGTGGGGAGGGGAAGCTCCCTACCCTGGACTCTAACTTCTGTTCTGGGTGCCCCAGGTGGAAGAGGAACTGCTGGCCCTACAGACAGGGCGCTCCGAGCGAATCCGGAGTTTGCTTGAGCGGCAGGCCCGTGAGATTGAGGCCTTCGATGCTGAGAGCATGAGGCTGGGTTTCTCCAGCATGGCTCTTGGGGGCATCCCAGCCGAGGCTGCTGCCCAGGGCTATCCTGCTCCACCCCCTGCCCCAGCTTGGCCTTCCCGTCCTGTTCCCCGCTCAGGCGCACATTGGAGCCATGGCCCTCCTCCACCAGGCATGCCACCCCCAGCCTGGCGTCAGCCCTCTCTGCTTGCTCCCCCAGGTCCCCCAAACTGGATGGGGCCCCCAGCTCAGAGTGGGACACCCCGTGGTGGAGCCCTCCTGCTGCTAAGAAACAGCCCCCAGCCCCTGCGGCGGGCAGCCTCCGGGGGCAGTGGCGGTGAGAACATGGGCCCGCCTGCTGCCGCAGTGCCAGGGCCTCTGAGCCGCAGCACCAGTATTGCTTCCCACATCCTCAATGGCTCCTCCCACTTCTATTCCTGAGGTGCAGTGCCAATGAGCAGATGAGCTAGACTGGGGTGGGTGGAGCCTAATCCTAGAGGGCAGTAAGCTTGAGGCCCACCCAAGGGTGTGGGGGACAGGATGTCAGCTCCAGTTCCCTTCAAACCTCATCTCATGAGCTTCTTGGGGCTGGTCAGTGGCCCAGGGCCAGCTTGGGCATAAGTGCCTCAAGGCTGACCAGGAGCCCTGCCTCCCCACCATGGTGCCAGGGTCTCCCTCCATCACAGCCTAGAGAAAGGAGGGAGATGTGTGTGTCAAATATTCATCTAGTCCCCAGGGGGAGGGGAAGGGTGGGTCTAGATATATTCTGAAAACCATATTATTCCCTGCAATGGGGCTGTGCACTAGGCATGCCAGGGCCCCCAGACCTGGGGCCTCGGGGAGAACAGGAGGAGGAGGCCTTCCTAGGAAAGAAGCATCAGGATGGGGTCTTGGGAGTCGAGATGCCTGGGTCTCTCCACTCCCCCGTTGCTGTCTGAAGTCCTGTGCCGTCTTGTCCTTTTTTTTTTTTAATTGGGATCTGGGCTAGGGCAGGGGAACAAGGGAAGGACCTTGGAACGGGCTGCTCTCAGGCATGGGAGGCAGCCACGGGAGTCCCTCTCAGCTTATGGGGCTGGCACAGAACCCCAGTGCAAGCTTTTAATAAATGGTTGGTTATTCTAACAGATCCAGGACTCACCCTTTCTGTGTAAGATGGGTATTATATTAAGGACTGTTTCAGCTGCTAGTGGTAGTCTGTATGTACTTGTCAGACTGTGTAACAAAAGAGGTCAGTGAAATTGATGACTTCAGGCATGACCGAATCCAAGACCTCAAAGTACATCATCAGCCTCCTGGCCTATGAATTTCCCTGCTTTGATCTGGTGTCCAAGATTCTCAAAAGTTCACTTCATGTATAGGCACCAAACTTAGTTCTTAGCGACCTCAACAGAAAGCTTCCAAGCAAAGTCCTTTAGAGGTGACTTCATTGGCTCAGTCTGTAGCCAGAGGCATGAGGTCAGGCCTAGGTCCTGTTGTTATTATTGCATGCTGTCAATTACAACTCATAAGGACCCCATAAGACAGACTAGAACTGTCCCATAAGGTACCTACCTAGGCTGTAGTCTTTATGGGAGCAGATCACCAGGGAGGAATCTTTCGGTTAGCAGCCAAGTACTCAATCATTGTGCCCCAGGGCCTCTTGGGCCTCTTGTTGTAAAGTGTCGTTGAGTCAGTTCTGACCCACAGCAACCCTGTATAGGGTTTCCGAGGAGTGACTGGTAAGCGCAAACCACTGGCGTTGCGGTTCAAACCGACCTTGCAGTCCAGTGCCACACCAGGACTCCCTTGGTTCTGTGCTTGTCCTTTTTAAACTGAAATCAAGTTAGCCCATGCATTAAATTGCTGTTTCCAAACAAAGTGGAAAAGGAAGACGCAAACGCCAGCTGTCTCCAAGTCATTTTTTGCTTCCCATTCGTCCAGTGGTCAATTGTTCAGCTCCTCTTCTCAGCTTCGCATTAGGTCATCACATACAACTCCCAGCAGTGGCCGGGCAGAGTGGAGGAGAATAATAGCCATCCCCTCGTCTGGCATGATCTGGAGGCTAGAGCTTCATGAGAGAACCTGAGCAAATAAAAAGGAAGCAGCAGCTGGGAAGCAGTGGCTCTCTGCTCCTGGCCCAGGGTCCTGACGCTAAGACTGACTGGTGGCGGTGGAGGTGTGCCTTCAGATCAGTTCCAATTCGAAGCGATCCTGTAGAGGGTTTCTGAAGCTATAAATCCTCATCTTTCTCCCATGGTGCAGCTGGTGGATTCAAACTGCTGACCTTGTGGTTAGCAGCCCAACATGGAAGCTGCTACGTTACCAGGGCTCCTTGAAGGTAAGAGTAAAGGACCAGTTTTGATGAGGCGATTACAAACGTTCCTTTATTAATCTTAAAAAATAAATGACTTAAACAAAAATGAAGCAAAGAAGTAGGGTCCCAACTTGTTTCCCTGGAGACTGCATGTCTTCTCCAGAGAAAGTTGCTTTAACTCTGCAGGCACAGAACAGGGTGCCATCTAAACCTGGTACAAGGGGACAGGGAGCTTAGGTACTCTCGCCATCACTGCTGATGATGCCATGCATATGTGACCAGTCTGGGGGTGGGGGGCGGGGCCGCTCATCCTCTGAGTCCAGAGTCCTACGATATGGCTCCTCTGAGGAGGCTGCTGTTCCTGAAGGGTTCCAGGCTGTGCGTCTGCGTGGCCGGCCTAGGGGAGGGAAAGGAACGGTCACTTGTCTGAAAGGTCACACCCTATCTGGGGGATTGAGAGAAGGCGGCTGCTTACCTGAACTACTGATGATGTTGGCAACATCCAAGGAGGCTACCTCAGCTGCTTCCTCCCGTTGTTCCTTCAGGGCCCGACACTTCTCCATGGAAGGGTTACCTGGGACAGAAAGGACAGGTGACCCTCTTCTCTCTTGAGCAGCAGCAGCCCCTCATGCAGCCACCAGGGTGTAACAGCCTCACCCTGCATGCCCAGGGCTTCCAGCTCCGCCCGAAGGACACTCAGGCGCTCCTTGTGCGTATGACAGGTGCCCAGCAGCTTCCTGTAGTTGCGATAGGCCCCACATGCCCGGATATAGCGTTTTAGCCTCATCACAGCTGGATGGTCCTCACCACGACGGCCAGAGACAGCCTGGCCAGGAAAGATTGTAGCTGAAGGTCAAGACTGCTGGGCTTGAGGAGGTCTCCCTTTCCCCTGATGGTGGCCTTCTGTCTCATCTTCACCCTCACCTTCCTGCCTTTAGGCTCAGGACTTCCATCTGAGGAGGAAGAGGAGCTTCGTGTCTTTCTGCCTTTCTTGGAGGTCTTCTTGGAAGAGTAGTTATTCCTCTCCCCCTTGGGACTCTGACCTGCCTCACTACCACTTACTTCCCTCTCTGATTCACTCTCTTCACTATTACTACTGTCCACATGGGCTGCCTTTCTAGTCCCTTTGTTCTTAGGCTTTACCTTTCTGCAGCTGTCTTCCCCATTGTCTACACTGCTTCCACTCTGCCTTTTTCCACCTTTCCACTGGCTCCTATCCTTGCTCTTTGTTTCTTCCCAAGTGTTATCCCCACTGACTGCTTCCTCTCTCTCTCTCTCTTGCCTTCTACCTGCCCTGCTTCTCTGTTTAAAGATCTCCTCGCAAGCTAACCTTTTCCCTCCATTGATCTTGGCTCTGTGTCTGCACTCCTCGTTACTCTCTTCTTCCTCCTCCTGTTTCTTCTTGGCTGGTGTCTCCCCCTTCTCATCCTCACCTGTCTCCCCCTTCTCATCTTCACTTGTCTCCCCCATCTCATCCTCCCCTGTCTCCCCCTTATCCTCACCTGTCTTCCTCTTGTCATCCTCACCTGTCTCCCCCTTGTCATCCTCACCTGTCTCCCCCTTTTCATCCTCATCTGTCTCCTCCTTTTCATCCTCACTTGGCTCCCCTTTCTCATCCATTTCACTTTCATGGTGGCTTATAGCTCCTTTCTTTTTCTTTCCCTTCCTTCCCATCCTCTGGGTAGGTTCCTCCTCACTGTCCTCACTCTCCTTTCTAGCCTGTTTCTTACTGGCTGAGGCCTTGTTTGCTGTCTGTTTATTCTTCTTTGTCACAGTTTTCTTCCTAGTCCGGCCCTTGTACTCCTCTTCCTCACTACTCTCTTCCTCCCAGACCTTATATGTTCTAGCCGAGCTTTTCTCTTCCTCACTGCTCTCCACCAATTCCTCTAATCCCATCTTGGCAGTCACATCCCTCTGCTCTTCCTTATCGCTGCTCTCCTCCATTGCTTTCTTTGCGGATGGCCTTGGACTGACTGCAGCTGCCGACAAGCCGTTCTTTGCTGGGGAGCCGAAACACTCTGGACTGGAGGCTGCAGAGCTGAGCTCTGGAATACGGAGAGAAGGAAGGGATAAGACTGGTTCCCCCTCTCCTCACTTGGAATAGGTTGACTAGTCCTGCTCTAATAAAGTGAAGGGAAGCAGAAAACAGCTACAAACCCACTCTGACTCCTGGCTCAACAGCTTCCCTCCTAATCCAACACCTTGGAACATAGTTCATGCTCAATAAATAGTTTTGAATAAACCAACAATGCCGAAGTTGCTCGCTGATGGCTGGGAGGAGGCACTAACCTGTCTCTGAATGGAAACGAGACCTTTTTCTCTCTGGGTCACTGGAAGGGGTGGGAGGCCTCTTGACCTTTTTCGAAAAGCCTCGCTTCTCCCTGGTACCTGCTTCATCCACCTGTGTGTATCAAGAGAGCAAAGCATGTCCCCAGGTTGTGTTCTGCCCCACCCCCGTAAGCCCTCCCTCTTAGGCAACAAGTCCCGCCCCCAGTGCCCCAGCTTCCTGCCAACACCTGCATCTTCAGCAGCTCTTCCTCCACCAGCCGCTTCAGCGCCTGTTTCTCCTCAGGTTCCAGATGGTTGCGGCCCACGTGAGCCAAGAACCTCTGCCGCACGATGGAGTGTGTGAGCGTACTGCGAAGACATGGTGTCAAGACAGAGTCCCCGTCCCGTCCTTGTCCTTCCCATCCCCGCCTCCAACCTCCAGTGCACCTGAGGTCCGGGCGGCCTCGGAAGAGACTGCGAGTGAATTCCTGCATCTCACTATCCCGCGCCATTTTGCTCCAGCCGGGATTGGTGGCTCCCGCCTTTTTACTTCTCGGCCTCCGTCAGCACGTTTGACAGGAGGTCGCGCACGCGCAAGCCCGTAGCACCATATCGCAAGAATTCGTTAGGTCTCGGTTTTCGGCTACTTGAATCAAGAAGTTTGCTAGCCAAATCTTGCTTTGCTACCCCCACCCCCCCCTCCGGTAATTGGAGAACATCGAGGTTTCTCTTTTATAACGAATGTAAAAGTGACTTGAAACCGCTTGGGCGCCCGCAACCTTTATGTGACGTAATCAGTGCGCGACGCGGCTTTCATGGTGCCTGGACATGGGCACCAGCTATGCCATAGGTACCAGCTATGTTATTTCAAAAGGCAGAAAAAAAAAAGCGGGGGAATTCTCGCAAGAAGCCTAGAAAGCCCTGGCTGGAGGAAAGTCTTTTGTGGTTTCAAATCTGCAAACTCATTTCAATCAGGAACAACACTCTCCAGCGTCCGCCATCTTTCTGACATAATCGCGTCACGGCGACGCTATCTGTAGCGCAGCCACTCCAAGCCACATTCCTTTCCCGGTATTTCCCATAAGGACAGTCGGTATGCTTACGCTCTCTGGTCGCTGAGTGCGCCGGGAGTTGTAGTCCAGTGGGCAGAGTCCTGCAGAATCTCCGGAAGTCGAGATCGGGTTGAGCCGGCTGGAGCTAGCGGGACTACGGACTCTGGGCCGCTGCTCCAGCGGCTGGTCATGAACGGGCCGGCGGACGGCGAGGTGGACTACAAAAAGAAATATCGGAACCTGAAGCGAAAGCTCAAATTTCTCATTTACGTGAGTGCTGTGAAGAGATGGTGGGGTGGTAAGGCCTGACGCTGAGAGAACCTCAGTTTACCCATGTGTAAAGAGGGTGGAGAAAGCTGGCCTCTGGGGCCCTGTACGACCGTTGGATCAGCGCCCATCTTTACTATGGTGCAGGAACACGAGTGCTTCCAGGAGGAGCTGAGGAAGGCGCAGAGGAAGTTACTGAAGGTGTCCCGGGACAAGAGGTGAGGCACTGGGGGAGGAGGTGGTGCTGTCGCTTGTGTGGATCCACTTTCGGACCCCGTCCGGGAATAGGACCACAAGTGCCTAGTGTCTGCCTGGAAGCTGTGTTGAAGATTCAGCCGGTAACTAGCAAGGAGAGGACCCAGGAGAGCGTCTCGGAGATGGGAATAAACACTTGTTCTCCCCACCTCTTCCCTTAGTTTCCTCTTGGACCGACTTCTGCAGTACGAGAACGTGGATGAAGACTCTTCGGGTGAGCACGGGCATGAGAAACTGACAGAGGATGTAGCTTCTGGTCTTCCAGCAAGCTGCCTGGGCCTCTCCTTTTAGGCTTTGCAGGGCTGCGCAGCCTCGCCAGGGTCCTTTAACTTAACTCTCCACCCCTACCATTCTCCCACTCAAGTATTTATTGAGCATATACTGTGTCTCAGACACTGTGCTTGGAACAGAGGTACAGCAATAGCTAAGATGAACAGGCCCTTGACCTCACAATTCATAGTCTATCGGGGGATGGTGGTAAGAAGTAAAGACATAGTGCTAGATTAGACAGTGGTAAGGGCGCCTGTTGTCCCGCTGTGGGATAAGCAGTGGACTGCGGACCAAGGGACTGGCAGTTCAAACCCACCAGCTGCTCCTTGGAAACCCTATGCTATGAGCAGGAATCTCTTCCTGGGCACTTAACAATAAGGAAGGGCTTTGAAAGGAGACAGGCTACAGGCTACTTGGTAGAGATTGGTGTAGAGCAGGAATTGATCAATTTTTTTCTGTAAAGAACTAGATGGTTTTTTGTTTTTGTTTTTTTTTTTTGGGACTTACAGGCTCTGTCACAAGGAGCTCTGGTAACATAGTGGTGATGAATCGGGCTGCAAACCATAAGGTCAGCAGTTCGAAACTACCAGCCGCTCCAGGGGAGAAAGATGAGGCTTTCTGCTCCCGTAAAGATTTACAGCCTTGGAAACCCAGTACAGGGTCGCTATGGGTCGGAACCAACTCGATGGCACTTAACAACAACAACAGACTCTGTCACGGGGAGCCCTGGTAGCATAGTGGGTTGTTTGTTGGACGGGTAACTGCAAGGTCAGCAGTTCAATTCCACCAGCCGCTCCACAGGAGAAAGAGGAAGGTTTCTGCTCCCATAAAGATTTACAGTCTCAGATACCCTATACAGGGTCGCTGTGAGTCAGAACCGACTCCAAGGCACGTAATCACCACCAGCACACCACAGGCTGTGTCAGCTTGCTGTTGTGGTGCAAAAACAGCCATAGGAAATATGTAAATCAATTATTGTGGCTGTATCTCAATAAAACTCTGTTTATGGACACTGAAGTTTGAATTCTTTGTCATTTTTACGTGTCATGAAATAATTTTCTTTTGATTCTTTTTTTCCCAAAATTTAAAAATAAAAAAAGCCATCTTGACTTGCAGACCACTCAAAAGCATCCAAAATAAAGTTGAGTGGAGGTGTGTTAAGATCACTCACTACATGCAATTCATCCTGATACTTTTTAGACTTTTCCTTTTTTCTTCTTTTAATGATGGCTGCAAACCACTAAATTGATTTCATGACCCATCAGTGAGTAGAGATCCACAGTTTGAAAAAGTCCCTGAGGTGGGCCTTGTTCCACTGTGGGGGCTCCAGCAGCCACGTCACATCCGCTCACCTCTAAACATTGGTTTGGAGCAGGAACCAGCAAACTACTAGCAGCCAGGCTGTTTGGTTTTATAAATAATGCTTTATTGGGGCATTTATTTGCAGATTTTAAGAGGACAATAGGTAGATCAGAGAATAGGCGGGGGCCAGATTGTATAGGTCATGGCAAAAACTTTGGCTTTTATCTTAAGCCTCTCATTCCTTGCTTATTCCTTGCCTAAGATCTTCTAACTAACAACCTGGTTGAGGGGAAGTTAGGACAGAAGATGAAGGAACCTATCGTGCCCATGGTGTACCAGAGACGTAACCCACCACTTCTGTCCTGGAGTGGACTACATTCTGGTCAGGGAGAAAGCCACACATGATACTTCTTAGCGCAGTGTGAGGAGAGTGCTCTGGAAACTCCAACAGTGATGGTGACTTGGGCCAGCGGTGTCCTCGAAGAGAAATTGAGAGTAGCATGTATCATGTGTAGCAGTTACTTGCTGAGTGAACGAGAAGCCTTTTAAGCAGTGGCACGTAACTGGGAAGTAAATGCCTTTCTTGAGGAAGTAGTTCAAAGTGATCTAAAGAGTTCAGTTTTTGTAGGAGACCAGAAAGGTAGAGTAAGACAAAGTTAAAAGCATTTCAAGTGCCTGCAGACAGCGGAGACGTCGTCAGGAGGGCTGTGACCAGGTTGACATTTCAGGTCATTCTGGGCTTGGTAAGGAGAGTGGTTTTGGCAGGGTAGTTTTGAAGCCTCATCCCTTCCTTAGTTTCCAAGATGCAGAAAGACAGTGAATGTAAAATAGCCAGTAGAGTACTTGTTGTTAAGTGCCGTGGAGCGCGTTCCGACTCAGCAACCCTTTGTAGGGTTTCTGAGGAGTAGCTGCTGAGTCAAAGATGCTGTCACGGACAGGAAGTAGGAATCAAGGATTTTAAGAAGCTGGAGGCCTCCCCAGAATAGCGTTGTATACCACTTGAGGAGTCGGATTCCTCTGCCTTTTTGTGGAGTTGAAGTTAATACCCTCAGGGGTATGGGGTAGACTGGGACCCCCCACCCTCAGTAAACCAGCCCTCTCCCCTCACAGACTCCGATGCCACTGCATCTTCAGATAACAGTGAGACAGAGGGGACACCCAAGTTGTCGGACACACCAGTCCCCAAGAGGTGAGAGAAAGCCAGCATTCCTCTCTGGGGAGGGCAAGGACTGACACCTGTCCTCCCAGCTGCCTCTGACCCCCTCCCTGTCCTTTCTCCAGGAAGAGAAGCCCTCCGCTGGGAGGTGCTCCCTCCCCCTCCAGCCTCTCCTTGCCTCCTTCAACAGGGTTTCCCCTTCAGGCCTCTGGGGCCCCCTCCCCATACCTGAGCTCGGTGAGTTGGGGTCCAGGGTGGGACTTGGTGAACTAAGGTGTCCAGGAATAAGGCGGGTGTCATTTGGACAGAGGGCCCAGCTCTGTGGAGATCTGTCTGGATGTGGCCAGCACGCTCCCCCTGGAGGGTGTGAGTGGGGGCTGCCCACTTCCTCTCTCTGGGGAAGGGGACTGGTGTAGACTGGGGAGAGCAGAGCCCAGGACAGAGTCCTTCTGCTGCCCCCTCCCCTTCTCAGGAGCCATAGGACGGCTCTCATCACCACCTCTTTTGTTTTTCCATTCTCCCTGTGTTTGCATTTCTCCCCTTCACCCCCACCCCAATCCACTCCATTTCCCATGTCCATCTCCTCACTCCTGCCGCAGCAGCTGGCTTCCCCTACCTACCCCCCATTCCCTTCTGACTACCTGGCCCTGCAGCTGCCCGAGCCCAGCCCCCTGAGGCCCAAGCGGGAGAAACGGCCCCGCCTGCCCCGGAAACTCAAGGTACCCTGATTTGGGGAGGCCAGGGAGGGCTCAGAGCGGCCGGAGGACAGTCATCTAAGGGAGGCATCCAGGGTCTGGGGGCCTGTAGACCTTTGAATGACTGATCGGGATACTGAGGCTCCAGCCGGGGCTAGGCACTCGGGTGGCATAGAGCAGTCATGCCCAGAGCTGCTTGTGGACACCAATTGGGCAACAGCAACCTAAGGAACCAGAGCTAGGTCTCCTGGGGCCAACTCTCATACTGCCCCAGTGTAGCCAGCAGCAAGGTGTGGCTTTCACCTACTGGGATGTTGTGAGGTGCCAGGCAGCCCAGAGAATGGGAAAGTGTGGTGGGGCCTAGGATCCAGCCAAGGCTCTACTGCTTAAACACCACGTGAGCTTGCACAGGTCTCTTTGAGCTGACCCTCCAGGCCTCTATTTCTGATCAAAGTCGATTGACTCCACAAGTGGTTTGAGTGCTCCTACGGGCCAGGCACTGTGCTAGGCGCTGCAGATAACAGTAATGAATAGAGAGATGGGAGTCCCTGAGCTCGCGGAGTCAATAAACGGAGCAGTGAATAGACATCCATAAAGAGTGGGCAGCACTCTTTATGTCTAGAGCAGGGGCTGGCATTGAAGATTGAGTAGTCTGGAACGTTCTTTTATGTGAGGCTTAAAGGAAATGACAGCAAGCCACGTGGCTGCCCGGAAGGTGTTTCAGTCAGCGGAAACAACCAGTGCAAAGGCCCTGAGGAGAGTGCCTGACGGGGAATGAGAGAAGAGGGTGATCAGAGAACAGGTCGGATTCGTATCTGAGGGGCAGGACTGGGGTGGGCCTTGTCAAGTCCTTGCTGGTACTGTGACTGAACTCAGGAGCCAGTGGAAAGGTCAAGCAGAAGAGGGGTCTGACCAAGATTCCTGAGGCTGCTTGGCTGGAGACTGCTGGGCGAGGGGTAGGGAAGGACAGCAGGGTAGAGATAGGTCCCAGGGAAGAGGCCACTTCAATGAGCCAAGTACCTGGGGGGAAGCTGAGGGTGGACTATTCATGTTTGGAAGAATGAGCTGCACGGCTTTCTAAAGGAATCAAGGTGGCTCTTTAGCCTATTGTTAAGTGCCGTGGAGTTGGTTCAGAGTCACAACCTTGTATAGGGGTTTTGAGGAGCAGTTGGTGGGTTTGAACCACCGACCTTGCAGAGCAATCCAGTGCTTATATAGCACAGTTACCTTTACCTGCGATGGCGAGGTTGATGGAGGGAGCAGGGTTTAGAGGGAAGATGAGGAGTTTGGCTCAGGTCCTCTTGATCAGCTTTCTGGAAAGGGCATCTGAGGTTGACAGGGATGTATATACGGAAGTCATAATTGTGGTGACATGTGATCATTCAAGGCAGAGTGTGGTTGGAGAAGTCGTCTGGCCACTGAGGCTCAGGAGAAATGAGAGGCGTCACTGAAGACAACCCTGGATCAAAGTTGCAAAGGGACCAGGCTGGGTAACTCTCGAATTGAGTGGGTTGCAGACTCAGGCTCTGGAGCCAGAGGTGAAACAGGAAGCCCCATTTGTGGTGATTAGGAGTTTGGATTCTGGAGTTGTAATCCTAGCTCTGGTGTTGATGCCCTGTGTGACCTTGGCCCTGTGTGACAGGGGTGAGAATGATGGCCCTCTGCTCTACTCAGCAGGGTATTAGCCTCTGGCCGATGGGGCAGAGTGGCTGAGAAGGTGAACAGTGAAGCCTGGGAGGTGGGAGTGTGAGATGGCGTAGGCACAGAGGGTTGACGTTTTCTGGTTGATGCTGGGTTCTGAAGTAAAGGAATGTCTGGTAGCTAAATTCTACATAGGTGAAAGAAAACGTTGGTTGGGAGGGGGCCTACATTATTGCCGTGCATAGGGGGTAGGAGACAAGTCAGGGAAAGCCTCAACGAAGAAGTAGCATCTGAGTACAGGCTAAGTGGAATTGGATAGTCTAGGCTGAGGGAGTGTAGTGGTCACGAAGACAAGAGATGTGGAGAAAGTGTGTAGACTGGAGCAGCAGTGAAAAGGACGAGTAACCTTGGAAAGAAAGAGAAGATGGCACCCAATCATAGATGACCTCAACACCCAGAATCCAAGTTTGCATGCCAGGGGTACAAGACAGTGGGAGCCACTGAACATTCCTGAGTGACCTGGTGTGAAGAGACTGGAGGTAACAGGGCTGAGAAGAGGGAGGAAAAGAGGTGAAGACCGAGCAGATCAGCTCAGAGCTTGGGCCTCAGACAAACAGGAATGTGAATCCCATTCTTCCACTGACTCACTCCATGACCTTGGGCATGTCATCAACTCTGAGCCTCAACCTGTCAAGTGGAGTCACTGTGGGATAGAATGAGCAAAGGGGTGGAAAGCAGTCGAATACCTGATTCCTAGTAAAATCAGAGATAAACAGTAGCTGCTATTGGCCATGCTGAAGAAGCCATTGAGTGAGCTCAGGCCAGTGTTGGGCCAAGGAGAGGTGGAGGCCAGAGGGGACAGTCCTCAAGCAGATGCCCTTGTGCATGTGTATCTGCTCCCATGTGTCCGTGAGTACCTGGCACTTTGGGTGCATGGGGACTTCAGAGCTGGGCCTTCTGACCCATGAAGTACCAACTCTGAAGGAAGAGTGATGAGGTTAGGGGCTCTTAGAGAAGCAGAGAGGAGACCATAAAAGCTGAGTGTCTTAGACAATCAAATGGACCATTGTAGAGACCACACAAGTGTTTCCTGTCATCTTTGCCCTGGACTGGACACAGCCTGTTCCTTAATCACTGTTTCTAAGCTTGTTTCCTCCTCTGGCAGATCATCTCTCCTCCGGTCAGGGTGGGCATGAGGGTCAGAGATCATTAACAGAATCCACTTGGTACGCAGTAGGTTCTAAAAACACAGTTTGTAACTGCAGGCAAAGCATGAGGGCTGTCAGCAGGGCCCTGGAGAATGCTCCATAGGGAGGCTTCCTACTGACCTGGCAGGGGGAGTGGGGCAGAGGGTTGGGCAGGACAGAGGCCACTTCCCAGCCTCAGAGGACAAAGCAGAACTTGGACAAGTAGAGGGGGACCCTCCAGCCCAGGTCTGCCGCCTGCCTGTGCCTAGAGCGAGGCGCCAGGAGGCCCTTGACGGGGGAATGACATGCTCAGGTTTGTGTTGTAGAGAGACCTCTCTGGCGGCAGTATGGAGGAGGAGCTGGAGCTGGGAGAGGCTGAAGGCAGGGAGTCCAGTTAGGAGGCTGGTACCGTAGCCCAGGTGAGCTGAGAGGAGGGCCTGGCCTAGGCCAGTGGCTACGGGGATCCCGAGGAGGGGCCCCCCAAGACACAGGAAGTAGATGCCTCAGAAAGGGGGAGGGGGCTCAGGTGGCCTATGATACCCTCCACCAAACCAGTCAGTGCTACAAGAGGCGGCCAGCCAGGAAGCAGTGGCAGCAGGTGTTATGTGAGGGGCCTGGCAGCTAGGCCAGCTGGCTGGCCCTCCAAGCTGACAGATTCTGCTGTTAACAGGAGCAGCCAGGGGCCTCCCTGGGGAGGGAGGGCCAGCGTTTCTGGCCCGGTTTCCTGTAAAACCCCATCCTCATCACCACCTCCATCACCACCCCTCACCCCCAGGCACTTGCTGGTTGGAGGCTCAGAAGGGGCTGAGGTGGGGGCAGGCCCTGTCTCCACTATCCCTTAAATGAGCCTTTGCCCCTTCCCCTATTCCCAGAACTGCCCTAGGGGGCAGTGCCCAACCCCCATCCCCATCCAGGAGCCCCAGAGCACCCCCCTGACAAGCCTTCCCTGTGTTTCTTCCCCCTGCTGCAGATGGCGGTGGGACCCCCCGACTGCCCTGTGGGAGGGCCACTGACCTTTCCAGGGCGAGGGGCTGGGGTGGGGGCAGCCCTGGCCCCACTGCCCCCTCCCAAGATGCCCCCCCCCACGATCCTGAGCACCGTCCCTCGGCAGATGTTCAGCGACGCAGGCAGTGGTGATGATGCCCTGGACGGGGACGATGACCTGGTGATTGACATCCCCGAGTGACCCGGCCCCGCCCTGCTAGCACACCAGGAGCCCCGCTTCCTCAGAGACATTTATTGACACCCAGTTGCCATGCTTCGGCCACTGACACAATCAGAAAAGGCGTAAACATGCACGATGTCACCCGGGAAGGTAGGCCCTCAGCAGGGTGGGCAGGGCCCATCCCGGGGACAGTTATTTATTGAAAGGAGTGGCCTGGGAGCATCTGCCACCTCTCAGGCAGGCAGAGGTCCTGCAGGGGCCACCCCTACAAGAGGGCAGCTTCCAGGGCTCGGTTTTCATGAAGACACTATAATAAAAGGGTGGCTCTTTTTCATCTTGTTTTGAGTCCTTTCCTTTTTCAGAAACATCCTCCTCCTCCAAGGCCCCCCCTAATCCAGCCCCTCCCTGTAAGGAGGGGGGACAGGCAGCCTGGGGAGGCAGGAGGGAGGAGCAGGCAGCATTGGGAACAGGGTACTGATAGGACTCCCCCCACCAAAGGTGCCCAGGTTGGGTGGGTGGTTGCATATTTGCATGTCCTTGTCTGGCAGGCAGGAGGAAGTTGGAAGTTTGCATATGTGAATACAGATCTCCAGGTCCCTCACCAGAGAAGACAGGCCCACAGGTCACGGAGACTCTCACAAAATAAGACAGGAAGTGCGGGGCAGGGACAACCCACCCCGTGTAAACGTGCAACACAGTCGTGCGAAGGTTGGGTGCTGGCCGCTGGCTGCAGCTCCAGGGGCTTTGCCAGGAGTAGCAGGCCTGCTCAAGCTGAGGGCAAGGCCCCAGCTGCAGGGGGCAGCTCGCTGGTCAAGGTGTGCCAGCGCTCTAAGACTGCATCCGGCTGCTGTAGGCAGTCACCCCAATGTTTGCGGGCCTCCCCCCGGGCGCCTGGCCCCAGGGACACGCCACCTGAGGAGCAGGTAGAGCAGATAAGATCAGGGCCCAGCTTGATGCCAGTCTGCCCTCCTTAGCACCACCCAGCTGGGCTCCTCCCCTCACCAATGAAGTCGTTGGATTTGCCAATGTCGTAATCCCACACTGTGACCTCCAGAGTCTTGGTGGCTAGAGCAGAGAGTTCCATCTCATAGAAAAACTCCTGGGGAGAGGGCAGCACTGGCCATCAGGCCTGGCCCACTCCTCCAGACCACCTCGCCTCCCTTTGGGGCCCCTACCGCCTTTTACCTCATTAAACTCCGGGTTTAGGGTTTTCTTCTTCACGCATGTTTTATGCTTGGATTTCTTATCCACGTCTGGCCTTAGGTACCTGGAGGGAGGGGCTGTTAGGGAAGGTCCAGGCTTCCCCGGGAGGGGAGGGTGGGTCTCAGGGCAAGGGCTCACGTCTTGACGTAGGGGTCTGAGTAGCCATTGACGTCCATGGCAGCCAGGTGGGCACAGCGCACAATGCCCACCAACAGCCCCCGGCGACAAGAGATGTAGCTAAGGGTCAACAGGATGCGGCCACGCTCCTCCAGCAGCCCAGGGCCCTGCTCCACCTGTTCCAGCTACAGGGGGTAGGGGGGAGATAGGGCAGGACAGAGGTCAGCCCAGGTCCTCCACCAGACCCCACCCACACGTGGTCTCTGAGGCACCTCACCTCCTTCAGGTAGCAGGAGATGCCTCGCAGTGCTGCCGACATGGAAGAGGGTGAGGCCAACTAGGGGCAGAGAGAAGATTCTGGACAGTTGGCCTTCCCAGTGACCCCACCCCCTGACATCCCTGAAGCCCCCCTCCTTCCCACAGACCGGGACCTGGCGCTCAAGGCAGATATTAAAGTGTTTCTTCTGGGAAGGCTTGAGGCGGCGGAGGGGCACCCGGGTCTCCCCGATGAACTCATTGTGGCTCAGCTTGTCCTCATCACAGACGGAGATCCTGGCAGGGAACTGCAGTCAGTCACCTGAGCCCTGCTCCAGTGTGGGAGAAAGGTGCTTGGACCGAACTGAGGGCCCACAGCTGGTCCCAGCTTTGTCCTCAGTAGTCTTTGCATCTCAGCTGTGAAATGGGCTTCCTCACAGGGCAGTAAGGGGAGCTCCGTGCTCTGGCTAGGAACCGCCCTTAGTCCCTCTCTGCTCATTCACTCCTCAGATCTGGATGACCCGAGGGGCCAGGTGCACACTAGTGGGTGTGGTGTAAGAGCTAGGAGGGCCTTGTCTCCACTCCTGAGCTCTCCCCAGAGCAGGAAGATGGACCAAGCATTACACTGACTTCTCTCTGTCCCCTTTGCAGCCCCCATGCGTCCTTCTGCTGTGAGCGCTCTGTTAAGCAGCTGTGTGACACAGAACCTCTATCAAGTTCATTCCAACTCACAGCGGCCCTATGTAGGGTTTCTGAGGCTATAAACCCACGAACCAGAAAGCCTGTTTCTCCCATGGAGTAGCTGGTAGAATCAAACTGTTTGCCATGTGGGTAGCAGCCCAGGGTATAACCCACTACACCACCAGAGCTCCTTGGGAAACAAGTGCCATTGAGTCGGTTCCGACTAGTAGCGATCCTGTACAGGGTTTCTGAGGAGCAGCTGGTGAGCTTGAACCACCGACCTTGTGGTTCAAACCAACCTTGCAGTCCAGCGCATTAGCCTACAGTGCCACACTAGGACTCCCTTGTGAAACAGGGAGGGGTCAAATCCTAGCTCTGCCACTTAACCTGTGTGACCTTGGGCAAATCACTTAACCTCCTTGATCCTCAGTTCCCACCTGCTAAAGCTATTTGATTCTGGTCGTGCTGTAGGATAAGCACTGAACTGCTAACTGCAAGGTGGTGGTGGTGGTTAAGCACTATTAAGTCGGTTTCAACTCATAGTGACCCTGCATAGGATTTCCAAGGAGCAACTGGTAGGTTTGAATCGCTGACCTTGTGATTAACAGTCCGGTGCTAAAGCTATACAGCACCACACCACAAGAAAAATGTAGGTTTTTTGTGTGTGTTTTTTGTCAAAAACAAGGGAGAGGTAAAGGCTAAATGGGAGGTAGGGGGATGATACACCACAGATGAGTAAAGATTTACAGCCTGTAAGGGTCGCTACTGAGTCTGAAAGGACCGGCTGGCAGTAGGTTGGGGTTAAAGCTATCTGAGGAGCAAATGCAATGAACGTAAAAGGCTTGGCCAGGCTGGGCACCACTAGGGAAATGTGTGTTCCCTTCAAAGCTCAATTCTCACATTGGAATCTAATGCTTTCCGATTTCTGCCTTAATCTACCTCCATAGCTCATCACCTCCAATGTGATCTCTTAACCAAAGTCCTGACCATGCTGCAAAACTTCCCAGGGCTCCCTTCTGCCCACACAGGTATCAGCCTGGGTTCTGCCTTGGCTGGCCTGAGGAATGCTCCCCACAGCTCCATCTCCTGGGATGAGGGAGGAAGTTCTTTGCCCCTGAAGACTTCACTCAGAGATTTTTAGGGAATTTAGGGAGCAGAGGAAGCAGCTGCAAAGGTTTGACTTAGGGTACGGCTCAGAGAAGGGGCTCTGGTGACAGAAAACCTTCAGGAAGAGGCTGAACTGCAAATGATGAATGGAAGTTCAGCTGGCCTGAAGGAGGACAGGTAGCACTTTCTAAGGGGACAGGTAGCACTTTCTATGTGGAAGACAAAGGTCAGGAGTCAGGCAATTGACCAATCAGAGGGGAGGGGGCCCTGCTTTTGAGGAGCAGTACTCACCGGCTGCTTCTGGAAAACCCTATACAGGGTGGCTATGAGTCGGAACCCGACTCTCCACAGCAGTTAACAACAATACCAGAGAAACCTTTGGGTCTGCTGTCAAAAGCAATGGAGAGGTAGTGGGGAGATGAGCCACTAAAGAAGGTTCCAGGGTCAGCTGTCCCCAGGCAGTGCTACCTGAGGACTTTGGGAACACACAAGGAGCATGAAGCACTCACCTGAGCACCTTATGGGTAATGTCCTCATCCGTGATCCCACTGTAGGTCAGGTCCTCGTTCCATACGGGATTCAGAGTGTTCCTCTGAGTCTTGGTTTTGAGCTTATTGGCCTGGAGTGTGGGGACAAAGAGTTGTAAATGTTCCTGGATGTTCAGGGGTTGAAGGCAGGACAGACCCACAGGTTGGGATAAGCCAGGGAGGGAGGAGGCCCTTACCTTGCAGGCTCCAGGTAAGAGGTGCAGCTTGACGTAGGGGTCGGCTAGGCCATTGAAATCCATGGGCTTGAGGCCCTGGGCAGGAAGGGAGGACAAAATTGCTGTGGGTGCCAGCCTCTGCCTCTCTCTGCAGAGCTGGATCCTTAAGGTGTGGAGAGTCAAGAAGGGGGGTGGGGAAAGTCAGGGGTCAGGCCTGGGAAGATGGAAACTCACCCTTGCAGGTGCTGGGAACACCCACCTTGGCCCTGAGGATACGACAATGCAGCGTGCAGGAGGCCTGGTCATAGAGAAGATCAAACTCCAACATGCCCAAGGCGGCTGGAGAAGAGGGGAAAGACCTTGGAGTCAGGGTGGGTATAAAGACAGGTGTGTAAGACAAATGGGACGAGCAGATGTCAGCTGTGAAGGTGTGTTTGTGTGTCTGTCAGCCTGGGAGCATGTGTGCAAGAAAATGAGTGGGCATGTGTGTCTGTCTATCTGTCTGTCTGGGTCCCTGGCTAGGCCACAACTGGGGCTGTGTGGGTGGTTGAGTGGTTCAGCAGAAATATTGACTATTTTGCCTTGCTGAGGCAATAATCCCCCCCACACTGCCTGCAGCTGTGGGGGCAGTGCCGCCGCCTGCTCACCACCCCCTGCATACGCACCCTACAAGGCCCAGTCCTCTCCTCACAAGCCTGGAGGCCCCCATTAACGCTCTAGGCTCTTTATGCCCCCAGACTCACTGGTTTCATCTGAGTCATAGTTGTCGATCTCAGCTCCATCCTCAGGCGTGGTGGGCCCAAGGAGAGCCACAGGGGGGGCCAGGGCCAGGGGCACCAGGCCAGCAGGAGCCTCCCCGCAGCCTCCACCCCCACTTTCTGGTCCTGTTCCCCTGCGGGGAAAGTAGTCCGAGATCTGGCGGATGGGCCGGATGGGTCCGGGGCACACATTGATAGCCATGTGCTCCCGGATGTTGATGGTCATGCGGTCACCCTTTCGGCCCCTCATGCAGCACCCTGCTGGGGGAGAGGGGAGAGAGCCTGAGTCCAGGGCTCTGTCTCATACCTGTCATCTGCTGGCCGGGGGTCCTCACTTGCCTCCCTTACTGGGCATGAGGCAGAGGTTAGCCTATGCCAGCCGCTGGGTAGGCAAGAGGCCTGGGTCCTCCAGACCCCAGATCTTGCCCACAAGTGGCTGGGTTGCCAGCCCACTCCCCTCAAGATAGTCTCTGGTTTCACCTCAGTCTTGCCCACTTAGTTCTAAATGGTCCTTTTGGCATTCTGGGTTCCGGTTTGGCTTCACGCCCTGCCCTCCCTCATCGGTCCCTGGGAGGCTCTGTCCATCCCTCTGCACCAAGCCCACCCCTCTAGACTCAGTGAGCTCACTGTCCCTCCATTCATATGCCTGCCAGCCCGCCTGATCGCTCCCTCCAGCCAACGTGGGGACCCCTGCCTCAGATGCCTACCCCTGAGCTTGGCTCCCCTGGAAGCCAGATATTGCAGCCGCTGGAGAGCGGAACACCCCCGCAGGCACACACAGGCTAACGCGCACATTCACCCTCACCCTCAAGCCCACGTCGGCCCAGCCCCCTGCACCTGTCTCGGTACGTCCAACAGGTGCCCGGGCACTGGGGGGACAGCGGGTGCAGGCTGGGCGGTGGCGGCCGGCGCTTCCCCGGGCGGCCAGCGAGCAGCAGAGCGCGGAGTCCGGCTGTGCGCGTCGAGAGGGAGGGAGCAGGAAAAAGTGCGGGGAGGAGGGGGTGAGCGAGGTGGAGGGAGGATGCAGCCGGCGCAGGCGGCGGGGGGCGGGGAGGGCCTCTTTCGCCCGCCCGGACTCGCCGGGGAGCGCACCCGAGTGCACACACGAACACGTGTGCGCGTGCACACACACTCATGGGCACGCCGGCCGGCACACATATCTTGCAGGGGCATTCCCGCGTGCAAACGCCTGTGCCCACGTGCGCACGCTCACACTCAGGCACAGACCCAGACGCGCACTGGTACTCTCACCCGGAGAACTTCGCAGACACACACGAGCGCCTGCGCCACCAGCAACCAACAGTGAGAATTGCCTGGTGTTTCCCAGTTCCTCCCAGGAGACCCGGGTCCGCCCGCGGAGCCCATAGTGCAGCCTTCCCTTCCCTCGCTTCTTCCTCCCATCCCTCCCGGGTCTTCAAGGCCAGACCACCGGCCTAGTTGCCATGGCGACGCCAGCTCCTTCCCGTCCCCCCCCACCCCAACCCCCGCCCCACTACCACCCCGCACATTCTCACGCCCCTCCCCCGCAGAAAGCGCGGGGAGGTAGAAAGAGGCGTCTGGCCCTCCCCCTCCCTAACCGTAGGGGCGGGGCTGGGGGCGGGGTTTAAAGATCCGCAGTGGACTAGGGGCTGGCGGAGAAAGGGGCTCCAACCCGCCTAAAGTCACTGGCGTACGACCTTTGCTCCTACAAGCTTCTTTCTCTGGGAACATCTTTCCTTCTTTCAGAGGTCAACCCAGGTCACCTCTTCCGAGGAGCCTTCCGGGAGGATCTTTGCCCTGCGCCTCAGTTTCTAGTGCTAGTCTCAGACTGCTAGCTGTTTTGTGGATCCCTGTTTACATCTCCGTGTCCCTCATCAATCAGAAAGCTCCGCAGCGGGTAGAGGCGGATCCATCTGAGTCCCAGGGCCCCAAACGGCTGAGCACCGCATTTGTGATTTAAAAGTTAGAGAAAAACCAAACTAAACTGAGATACCATTTGTCACCTGTGAAACGGGCAAAAAATCAAGGTATCAGTCAACACAGTGTTGAAAAGCTGAGAGTAAACAAGCACCTTCGTCGTAGTTACCGTGTGAAGAGATCGACCCCACAGTGAAGACCAAGATGGCAAATATACACACTCTTGGACCTAGAAAGGCCACTTCTAGGATTTTAACCTAGATATTGTTGGTCCATGAGCAAAAGAATATAAGTTCAAGGTTATTAACTGTAACATGCTTGCAATGGCAACAGATTGGAAGCAACTAAATGCCCATTGGTAGGGAACTGGTTACATCATTGCAATGCATTCGTACCATGCGATCTTATGCAGCCTGTAAGAAGAGGCTCTTAAAAACTTGTCTAAAATCTTCATGAGCTCATGTTAAATTTAAAAAGCTAGGCGCAGCACAACATGTATGAAGGCTGTCATTCACATGGGGAAAAAGACATAGATGTGTTTGTTTATTTGCTGCAGTGCAGTCATTTGCTAGGTATGGCCTTGTTAGCTATAGTCTTTGTAACTAAATGAGTGGGTTGTTGTTGTTGTTAAGTGCTGTTGAGTTGATTCCAATTCATAGCAACCCTGTTTCCGAGGAGCAGCTGGTAGTTTTGAACCGCCAACCTTGAGGACTGGATAGCTTGCTAATGAGGTAAACAAAATATTTGGCACCTTTGTGGGTGTTGGGCAATTCAAATAAAATAAATGGAACCCTAAGATGGGGTTGGTCCCATTAGGCTTAAATGTTCTTGTTGTTGATTCCGACTCATAGCAACCGTGTATAGGGTTTCCGAGGAGCAGCTGGTGGGTGTGAACTGCTGACCTTGTGGTTCACAGTCCAGTGCTGATCCTACAGGGGTACACCAGGAGTCACGAGCTTATAAATGTATGCATTCCCAGCCCTCTACCACAAGGGTGGTAAGCGCCCAACTTCAGGGCTTCAAATAGAGCTTGTGGTGCTGTGGTATAATGCACAGGATTAACAGTTTGGTTTGAACTGCAGGGTTGGTGGTTCAAATTCATTAGCTGCTCCTCAGAAACCTTATACAGGCTCGCTATGAGTCGGAACCGACTCGATGGCACTTAACAACAACAAAGGCAGAAAAGAGGATCTCCTTTCCACAAGAGCCAGGTGTGGAACCCTTCTTTTGAACCCACGATCCCTGCCCTGAGCCTCCTCTATCCAGCTGTGATGCCAAAGTCAGTGAGACACAGTCACAGAACCAGGAGATCAGCACAAAACAGAGGAGTGGGACTCCCAGGCCACACAATGAGAGAGCTGAGTCCTTTGAGCAAGTGGCTCGCTGGTGGAGTGGGGTAGCTCTGAGTACTATGGGTAAAGCTAAAAAGCCAAGGGGCCATGGGCCAAAGAGACCTACCTCCTTTGGGCACTGCTGATTGAAGAACGGTATTCTGAGTTGTTTCTGATCCTGAATTGTAACCTACTATTTCCCCAAAAAAAACCCATAATTGTATTATTGTCTGTAAATTCTGTGTGACCATTGCAACAATCATTGCAACAGATTATTGACCCCAGGAGAGAATTAGAACATGTCATAGGAGGAATCACTGGTGGCAGGATGGGTAAAAAGTTTGATGAGTTGGAGGGATGTCTGATCTTTTCCTTGGATCAGCCCTGGATGGCTAATGCTGATGCTCTTGATATTCCTTCCCTCTTGTGAAGTTAGAGGAGGTCAGATGACACCCCCATGCCATTTTGACAACTGCACAAGAAAGTGTACCTATAGTGGCCTCTGATGAAGTTGCTGCAGAGCAAGATGGGACAGGAATAGGAGCTGTGTTGTTAGGTGTCGTTGAGTAGGTTCTGACTCAGTGAAGCTACACACAACAGAATGCAACACTGCCTGGTCCTGCGCCAACCTTACAATTGTTGTGATGTTTTAGCCTATTGTTGCTGCCATGGTGCCAATCCATCTCATTGGGGGTCATCTTTTTCTCTGACCCTCTACTTTATCAAGCATTACGTCCAGGGACTGCCCCTCCTGATAAGATGTCTGAAATATGAGAGACAATCCTTGCCTCCAAGGAGCATTCTGGCTACACTTCTTCCAAGACAGATTTGTTTGCTCTGACAGCTCATGTTATTTTTGCCCCCAACTTTTTATTGTGAAGGCTTACAGAGCAGATCATCAATTGTACATTTGGCAAATCATGTACTTTGCTTCATGACATGGTTGCAATCCCCTCCAGCAGTATTTACCTCTGTTCACTTTAGTTCTTGCATTTCTCCCTGTGTCTCCCGCTACCTTCATCTTTCCTCTCCTTGCTTCCTTCATCTTGTATATTGCCTGTCCTGTCACCCATGGTAACATGTGTCTACACTGTAGCCCAAATGTTTTGCCAAAATGTATAACATCATTTTCAGGGCATGCAAAATCATTGACTTAAAAATTAGCCTGCTGTATTTGTCAAACATTTAATTAACTCACCCCTAATGTTATGGTTAAAGTCCTGGTGTGGCACTGTGGGTTAATGCACTGGATTGCAAAGTCCATTTGAATCGCAAGGTCAGCGGTTCAAGCTCACCAGGCGCTCCTTGGAAATCCTACACAGGGTCATCATGAGTCGGAACCAACTCAATAGCACTTAACAACAACAGTGTGATGGCTGGAACCATGGTTGCCTTGGCAGGGCCAGAGCAAATGATTTTGCATACTTATTCAATCTGTGTGCTGAACAAATAATCCGAGGAACAGGATTATATGAAGAAAATAGTGACATCCGGAGTGGAAGAAATCTCATTAACAACCTGTGATATGCAGATGATACAACCTTGCTTGCTGAAAGCAAAGAGGACATAAAATACTTACTGATGAAAAAAAAAAAAACCCGCAGCCTTCTATATGGGTTGCATTTCAATGTAAAGAAAACAAAAATCCTTACTATTAGATTTATAAACAATATCCACATAAATGGGGAAAAAGTTGAAGTTGTCAAAGACTTCATTTTGCTTGGATCAACCATCAACACTCATGGAAGCAGTATCCAAGAAATCCAGTGACATATTACATTGGGCAAATCTGCTGTATAAGACCTCTTTAAAGTGTTGAGCAAAGATGTCAGTTTGAGGACTAAGGTTCACCTGACTCAAGTCATGGTATCTTCAGTAGCTTCATATGCATGTGAAAGTTGGACAGTGAATAAGGAAGACCATAAAAGAATTAATACATTTGAGTTATGGTGTTGGAGGAGAATATTGAAAGTACCAAGTACAAAAGAACAAACAGATCTGTGTTGGAAGAAGTGCAGCCAGAGTGCTCCTT